GTTTTCGACCGTAATTTAGATCGATTTCTGCATTAATATATGCTGCAACAATATTCTTTTGTTTGTCCATTATTTTTTAAGGACTAGATTCAACAGATGCCTTTAAGGAGATGAGAAAAAAGAAAGTGCTGCAGGTTTACTGTGGGAAAATGGCAGGTAGTCTCTACAGAACGAAGTATGAAAAGGGTACGTTTTGTGAAATACCTTTTACTTAAAAAATTTTTGTACACTTCCTTAACAATACTGGCGGAATGTTTGATTACTTTGATACACCAAACCTCAAATTAGAATTATGTATAATGAATGAAGGTGGATAATTCATCAAACTCTCATATATTAGGAAGGTAACTATCAGGGCTTGATATTAACTTTTTTTTTTTTTTTTATCACCAGCCACTGTGGATTGTAGTTTTCCAACGTTACTAGCCACTCGTCAATTGAACATTGTTATATATATTTATTCAGATAATGTGCATTTGATTTACAATCTTTGTATCATATTTTTTTCTGTGTAAAGGAGAGCAGTGTATATTATGTAAAGGGCAGTGGTTTACACCCTGGCAGTTCGAAAAGTTTGGAGGAAAAGCGAATAGCAAGAAGTGGAAGCGTAGCATTCACTGCAAGCTGTCAAACGATCCTCGGCCTGTGCAACTAATGAAACTCATCAAGGTGAGCATGTAGTCAGTGTATGATCAGGATTTATTTGATATATTAATGAAGATGCAAACTGTGAATGTATCATCGTCTCATTTAAATAAACCCTCCTGTTTGTATTAGAATGACTGTCTTTCAGAGTTTGGACACTTGAGGGAGTCGCCTCAACAGGTATTATTTTTGCACATGAGACCAAATCATTCATATTATGTTGTAGTTCAACTTCTGTTGGTTTGTAATCTGTAGATTATCAATTGATATTTTGTTACCTGGTTTACTTTATAGATGACTTTTAACAGTTTTTAAGAAACAATCCGAAGATTTGTTTAAATTCACAACCATTTTCCTATAGGGAGCGCAGACTGAGGGAGACAGTGCAACCACGGCGCGAAATGAGACTGTGAACTGTGGACTAATGAGCTCTTTAAAAGATATTCCACCGTCTGTGAGAAGCATGTTTTCCAAAACTCTTGAAGTAACTGTGTGTAGAAACAAAGAGCAAATACTGCAGAAGGAAACTATCCAGACAGGTGAGTTGAAATGAATCTGCATTTCAGATAAATCGTTTTCCAGAAAGACTTTTATAGAACTGAGAAGTTAATAAATACATGTTTTCATTTTTATATGATGCACATCTATTATCAGCTCATAGGAGACAACATCATCTCTCAGACACACAAAAAATATGTACCTTTTATTTTTTTTGCTTGCCGTTTATTGGAACTTATTGGATTGTTGTGGAAATATTCGGCCAGTCTGCCTTTAGTTTGCCAAAGAGCTTTGTATTTTATTCTGAGAGTTGCTGAAGGCTTAAATTTTATTAATAAATTTTTTTCATCTACATTAACTAACCATGTTAATGTATGTGGTTTTTTTTTTTTTTTTTTTTTTTACATACAGACGATTCTTCAGATGAGTCAAAATCTGTTGCTGAAAGAGTTAAAATGGTGAGATTTAGTTATACAATGATGACTATAAGGAGCTCAACTTAAACACCATGTACAACCAATGTAATTTATGTAAATAACCCAAATAATTACCTTAAATTTTACCCTTTTACTTTTTCTCTGTCACTGAAAGGTGCATAACTACTGTGCTTGCATATTGCCCAATGTGCGCACCCCAAAATTAAAATGATCATCATTTACTCACTCTCTTTTAATACCTTAAAGCATTTCATAATGTTCTGAACACAAATGAAATTATTTTGAACTCATTTTTTTTTTTTATCTGAGTTGAGTGTTCTAAAGATTTTACAAGTTTTTAATGGGTTTGGAATGACGAGTAAATGATTGCAGAATTTAAGTATCATTTCTCTCTTGTATATAGAACAGGAGAGAATCTGTGACTTCAACTGAAGCTGCTACCAAAATGACCTCTCAACCAGTGGAATCTACTAACAACGATAAAGGTTTGTATGCTGTCATTTTCTCTCTGTATATGTACACACACACACACCCCTCTCTCTCTCTCTCTCTCTCTGACTCTTTCTCTCTCTCAATGTAACAATTTACATAATAAGAAAGAAAAAATAAAACAAAGTATTGAGTTAGATGTTCTATTGTTTTTTTAAATGTATAATAAGGGCTAGAATACATCTAGAATTTAATTATTATAGATTGATTAAAATATATCTGGGATTCAGATAAAAAGATGTGGTCTGCTATAGGAGAAAACTTATCTTTTTCTCAATTATTTTAAAAGAAAAAACATGTAAATGTTTTTTTCAAGTATGTAATGCAGATTGTATTTTAATTCCCTTTTAAAAAAGCAAAATAAAGTTTGTTAATCTCAAATCTCTCTCTCTCTCTCTCTCTCTCTCTCTCTCTCTCATATATATGTATATGTATACACATATGATTGACTTTGGAGGACATATTTTGTTTTTACTTTTGAATAGATTTTTTTTTTTTTTTTTATAAATGAATGGTAACCAATTATTCATAGTTTTTAATCGGGTTACTAGCTTAAAGTACCTGTTAAGTTTCTGTTTATGTGTCAACTGATAGACAATGAACATTTGTCTATTTTCTTCGACAAAATCAAACACTCTGTCTTTGTGGCTAAGGCCCCGTTTACACTAATGCATTTTAGTTTGCAAATTTCCTAGTTGTGCTTCAGTTATGCCATCCACACTACGCCGGAGTTTTCGAGCGCCAAAAACGGAGCGTTTTAGAATAAAAACGGATTCAACGTTTCTAAAACGCTCCGTTTTCGTCGCTTAAACTCAGCTGCTGCTCCGTCTTAGTGTGAATAGGGGGAAAAACGGAGTCATCTGAAAACGGTGGCTGGGCTGCTGAGATTCACTACCTGACTGAGGCTTTTGTGTCGTTGCGTATCCTTCCCTTATTCGTCAAGCCCCAATCTCATGACTATAACACATGTCTTTAATGCTACCGGAAGACAGCAGACCAGCCTTCACTGTAAACAACAACATGGACACAGAAATAGGAGCGTTGTTTACACTATTGTCTCTTAGGCGCCATTGTGCAGTTATTCATTTGTTACGTTTAGTAACAACTCGACCTAAAAACAGCTTGGGCTCGTTCACACCAAAGGCGTCTGCTTCTAAAATTGAGAGACGCAATGCTATAGACTGGTTTGAATAAAGCTCTAAAGCACTGAGAGCTTAATTGTTTTGCCAGAACAAGCCGGTTCTGGACCTGGCATCTCTAAAAATCTGATCTGGCACCTCATTTTACCAATCCCCGTCCTCACATGCACCTTCGCCCCGCTTTTCAGCGACTACCCTACGCTCTTCACTTTCGTCCCCTACACCAAACATTCCGCCATAGTCTTTATGTGGCTAAGAGGTAAAAACAGACTGGGCTTGTTCGCATCGAATGTGTCTGCTTATAAAATCGCAAGACGCAATGCTTCAGACTGGTTTGAATGAAGCTCTAAAGCACTGAGAGCCTGTAAACAGAAACTTGCAATTGTTGTATGTCTCTCTTCTGATTGGTTACAGGTAAAAGTTACAGTAGTCCAAAAATGTGGTGATCATGATCAGAAATTCATAAAAAAATCCATAAATGTGTTTTAATATGAAAAACAATAGAAAAAAGTGCTTTGCAAAGGCATTAAATGCATTGTGTGAACTGCCCCTTACACTATTTCTTTCTTTCAGTGTTTCCTATTATGTGAAGTTTCACAAACTAATTTCGAGAGGAGATCGTGATATGATTCATGGCAGCTGGTCTCTCATCTGCAATCTTTAGTAAACCAATCAGATTATTTCAAACTCACAATAAGTAATCTGTCTTGCCTTACTCCCTTATCTTCAATTTTTTAAGAGTCCAATCGCTCCAAGCCACCCACACCTTATCCTTTTTTACCATGGGGAGAACTACCTCAAGAACTACCTAATCTTGTAGACCAGGTGGGAGCCCTGGGCTCAATTATCTCCAAGCTCAGGGTTCTCTCCTGGGACAGTATGCCAAGCCTGCTATTAATATCAAGCAATCTGAGTGTGAACTCTTGAAATAAATTATAAAGCATATTTGTTCATTGCATCGTCAGTTTATACCTATTCATTTTGTAAGCCATACTGCAATGATATGTTTTCATTGACTCCCTGTTTTTCAGTAAACAAAGATGCACCTGCACACCCCCCTGATGCTCCAGAGCCTGCCGTACCTTCTGTCATGGAGAAGGCTATTCAGACCACAGAAGAAGTAACAGCTCCGCTCAGCCTCACTTCTCCTCCTGCTGAATGGCAGAACCCAATTGAACCAGTAGAGACTCGGGAAACAGGCCAGATGCAGTTATTTGAATTTCTGGCTAAACAGTTTAATACCATCAACGACACTCTAAAATCAATTGATACGTCTTTAAAGAAGCTGGTGGAGAAGCAGTCACATGACTCTCTGCCAGAGTCTAACAGGGGGATTCCTGCTCTTCAAGAACACCCCCAGGTTAATTGCTTGGTCAAGCAGGAGTAAGATACAGACGTTGTCTTGAGATGATTGGAATTGAAATGACTGACTAAAGTTTTTAACAAAATGAAAAAGTTAGTAGATTGATGAAATGTATATCATAGATGTTACAATATAAAGTTATGTATCTGCATTTTATAGTCATACACGTATTATTTTTAAAGTCAATACAGAAAGCAGTCTTTTTAACCATTTGCTTTTTTGGTTATGCATTAAAACATGACATTCTGAAACATTTTTATCTCACTATTTACTGTAAGGACGTTATTAATCTGTAATTCGACTTGTAAACCTACAGACTTGAGGCTTTTCCAAGCCGACATTAAATTTTATCAGCCTTCCCGATTGTAAATAAACTTAGTCCACAACATTTCTTTGATTTTTATTTTCATTTCATTTTTTCCCTGCACTGAAATTTGAATTCCCTCATATTTTATGCTAAACCTAATTCAAATGCAAGAATTGATATGGCATTTTATATATATATGTGTGTATTTTCCTTCATTAATGTCTCTTTGATTTCTGTTGCAATACCACTAAAGTTGTTTACTAGGAAGTCAGACCTTCTGAAAGGAGTGGTTAGGAGGAGCGTGCAAAAGGAGGGCAGATTAGATGTGTGTATGCATGTGTACGTAACTCTGCTAAAAGAAGATCTAGAAAAATAAAACTACAAGTCGAAGACACAGCAAGGTAAGAATATTGTTGTAGATATTAGTAATTGGTAACATTTAACTTAAATTTTGTGATCTGTTTTCTTTTTAAACTTTGTCACTCAGATACAAAAGCATCAGTCTAGGAAGCCACTTTCAGTTTCATTTCAGGGTCAGAGTAATTTTGAATGTTGAGATCTGTTTCCTTGTGTGTGTGTGTGTATGTAGTATTTCCAAAGATTTTGGCAGCTTGTTTTACAAACAAAAAGGCAGAAAGAATTTAGTCCACTTTATACCGTTACAGTAATACTGTAAAAGTTACAGTAAAATATAATGGTGTCTGTGTAAAATCTTTGTAGAAAGATGAAGTTTTAATGAATAAATATAAATACGTTGTTATAAAAACCTATTGATTAGATTGATCCCATATACATGGGTTCAACCAACCAACAAATGTAGTCTTTTTAACAGTTAGATTTAAACATGATTATTAGAAAAATTTAAAACAAATAGTAAAACATTTTTTTATGAAGATATATTTTCTATTGTAGTCTATACTAGCCTACATTTTATTCCACTTTCACTGAATCATCACAAATGTAAGCAGTGAGTTTAAAAAAAAATCTATAATACTTTCTAAGAAGCTTATGCTTACAATGAACTTTTAACTCATTTATAATCAGTCTTTAAAGACAATCCTTAGGCTATATTATAATGACTAGCTATATTATAGCTACGTTTATAATAGTGTTATGAATAATTATTGATGCATTTAATTTTTCAAAGCATATTCATAGCACATTTAATTATAATTTATTAATCAGTCATGATTGTATGTTAAAGGATGCAGTCTGCCATGTTAAAACATTGTTATGCCATAGTTACATAATTTATAAACTAATTCAAGAGAGAAACTTGCTTATGATTGATCACGGCTGGTCCTGCATTAGCGCATGGTTCGCCAATTGGATTATTTCTCTCTTACTATTGACCTTATTCTAAAATGCGGAAGTGCGCCTGTTTTCGCAATTGTTTTAGAACTTTTGATTCAGTCGCCTATGGGAGAAATGACTAGCAATAATAAACAGCAAAAAATGGTCAAACTACTTGCTCTACAAACAAATGTTTGCATGACTATACAGACCAAGTAGAATAATATAATAATAAAATATCAAATTGCAACATCAAGCAGCGTAACGAGCAGTTTTTAATGTCAAAAAATTAATGGAAGTGAGTGAGACCGGAAGTCATCCAAAAAGATTCAAATGTCTGCGCCCGCTCGTCGGCGGAGAATAAGGTGAATATATAACGTTTATATATTTTTCTAAGTTTCTTACTTTAGTTATCTTCGACTTGAAAAATCCCCCCTTCCACCTCTACTCCTCCACCTTTCCCTTTTTAGGGTGGCATGATGGCCTAGGGGTTAGCACTGTTGCCTCAGCTGGAACATTACTTTAAATACTTAACAGGCCAATGGTCGTTTTGTGTGGAGTTTACATATTCTCCCCATGCTCACATGGGTTTTCCCTAAGTTTTCCGGTTTCCTCCCACAGTTTTAAAACGTGTCATAAGTTAATTGATCAATTAAAGAATGATTATGAATAATTATGAACGGAGTTATAGGTCTTGGAAAGCTTCATGGAAAGTGCTACCACAGTTTTCATGAGAAATGCATAATGTTGTGAGTTTTTCACAGGACATGGATGAAGAGTCTGTGACAGACACCGAGTCTGAATCAGCATCTCAATGGGATCCAAAGAGTAGCACTGAATCTGAGAGCTGGAGTGAGGGCAGCAGAGAAAACAGAAGTAAAAAAAGAAAGAAAACAAGAAAACAAACCTGTAAGTTAGAGACATTCATTTAAAACTATGTCTCTCAACCACATTTCTGGAGGACCACCAACATACAGTTTTAGATGTCTACTCTCACAGCCATTACAGGTCTTTCATTCTCTGCTAATAAGCTGATGATCTCAATCAGGTGTGTTTGGTTAAGGAGTCATGAAAAATGTGCAGAGCTGGTGGTCCTCCAGGAACGTAGTTGAAATATACTGTTTTTAAACCTTTCTGAAATTGTGTAATCTTTGGTATCTGACCTTTGTTTCAGCGTTCACCAAGTTTTCAAGACAATCAATTGAAAAGAAACGTGAACTTGATGTCACATGTGGGGATAAAGAAGGCATCCTGAATCTGGAGAAGTATAATAATGACAGTAGGTGCAGATGCTCATGTACAAGTCTCCTTTTAAAGAATATTTGAAACATTATTCAAGATCCACTAAAGTTCAAATGTCATTCCAGTAGTGCCTCAAACTAAATTATCCTCTGTAGTTCAGGAGTGTATCTTCAGTGAAGGCCGGTGGTTTACGCCGAGCGGCTTTGAGAAGTTTGGAGGAAGGGAAAGAAGCAAGAAGTGGAAAAACAGCATCCGATGTGATGGCCTTCCAATCCAAGAGCTTTTGGATGTGAGAAGAGCAGTTTTTGCATACTTACATTTTTTTAATATATAACTGGTTTTCAGTCATGCTTGTGGAGACTGATATTATTAGTAGTTTTAACAGGTATTTCTTGTATATAGTGCCATAACATTATATTGTGTTGTAATTAAAGGTGCTGTATGTAAGTTTTTGACTTTTAAGTATAAAAATACCATAATATGTTTGCAGATATTAAGGTACATGCCAAGGAAACATTCTTATTTATCTGTAAAACTATGCTCAAGTCAGTTACTCTGCTTTGAGCATGTGTGTTATGTGCTGGAACGCTGTCTTTGATTTGGTTATTTAACCCACCCACTGCCACTTTTGCCAATTATATTTCAGCACTCCGGGTTGTCTTGTTGGAAAATAGTGTGTTTCATTTAGAAAGGCTCTCAAAGCAAGTGGCTGTGATCGAAATGCAACCTTTGGTGGACAGTAGCAGACTCTAAATGAGACGCAGATTCAGAGTTTAACATAAGGTTATTAAGTAATAAATGTATAAATATTACAAATGTAAACATTAGGTAAGCAGGTTAAATTGTAGCCTGTGTCCTAACAACACGCTATGTGCTAAGATTTGCATTAAGCAGTTTGGCTGTTTGCACCAGACGAAACACGACAGAAATTTACATACATCTAAGTAAACTATCTGCAGCTGCTTTCAGTAGTTAGGCAATAAATGTCCTTTAAAATGCCATTCAAACTTAAATTGTTAGCATTTAACATTGAATAAAGCACATGAGGATAACTTAAGGTGATCATTGTCAGTTTATCCTCTTGTTCACCTGTGAGAAATAGAAGCCATTTCTAATATATCAATTCGAGATGTTGGTTAGAACAAAAGCTCCTTTTAATATGGAAAATATTCCTTCTGTCGTGTGCCGTTACTTTTATTTAGAACACTATTTAAATCAGCCTTTAGGCTCGTCACTCAAACTCGTTCCTGTTCCTCAATCTGGCAACCTGCTCTTGCGTTTGTTTTCATCCCGGAATGTAATACATTGTTCAACCACTGGGTGTCAAACTTACATATTGCACCTTTAAAATAGCCAATGTGTTGTATAGAAATCTGTAGGGTATCAATTGATATGTTTATGGTTACTTAAATGACTTTTGAAGTGTTTTTAAAATTACTATCAACCATTTTCCCATAGATGATGCAGACATATGGAGACAGTGCAAGCACTGTGCAGAATGAAACTATGACCTCTGAATTATTAAACTCTTTAAAAGATTTCCCAGAGTCATGGAAAAGCTTGTTTTCCAAAACTCTAAAAGTACATGTGTGTAGAAATGAAGGGGAAATACTCCGGAAGCAAACAACCCAGACAGGTGAGTTGAATGAATGAAATGAATGTCTTTTCAACCAGAGCTTTATTAAACAATGAAGCTAATACATGCATGTTCCCCCTATATATGTCATACCCAGCTATTATCAATTCATAAAAGCCAACTACTTCACACAAAAGTAATGTCTACCATTATCTTTTGCCTACTGTTTGTTGCACATATTACAATGATGGTGCAAATATTAAGCCAATGTTAATATAAGTGCACATATTAACCAGTCCAGGATGCCTTTTTGGGTTTGCTAAACAGCTCTGTATTTATTGAAGGAGTTGATATATGTTTATATATTATTAATTTGAATTTATCTACATGTACTGACTCAATTTTTGTTTTCTAGCACATACAGACAGTTCTTCAGATGAGTCTGTATCTGTTGCTGAAAGAGTTAAAACGGTGAGATTTATTTACACATTGTTAAACAGTTTAGTTGTATGTATTGTTTTACTGGGCTATTTTCAGCATGAAGTTGAGACTCCTTCCAAACACTAAAGAAATTATGTACACTGAAAAAAATTATTTCTGCAAAATTGTTGCAAACAATTTATGTGTTGATTTTAAGCAAGCAAATTCAATTTAGTAATGTTAAACTTGATTTGTTTGTTTTAAATTCAGCCCAAATAAACAAATTTGCAAACACTTAACGTGAAAATAAATTCAAGGAATCATCTTTGAATCATTGTTTTCGGCATATAGAAAACTTGTATGCAAAAAAAACAAATGATTACCTTACACTTTAAACTTTCATAATCTCTGTTACTGAAATGTACACAATTACTGTAAAATATAGACTTGTATACACTAAAATATTTGTCATCTTTTTTTAAACCCTTAACACTTTGTAATCTTCTAAACACAAATGAATGTATTTGAACAAATAACAGATATTGTAAATTAGGGTGTTTTCATTTGTGTTCTTAAATGAACACATTTCTTATAGGTTTTATAGTAAATGATTACTTAATGTAAGTAACCTTTGATCAAACTAAAGTTGTTGTTGTTGTTGTTGTTTTTATTGGCACAGAGCAGGAGAGATTTTGTGATTTCAACTGAAACTGTCAGCAAAATGGTGGAATCTTCTAGCAATGATGAAGGTTTGCATTACATGTCCTTTCCTTTATATGCCTTTTTCTCTTTATATTCTCTGTATCCCATTCCTGAAATACCCAATTTTTGTAGAATTGTGACTAAGATGTTATGGATATATACATTTTTGGTTGCTGCTACTCACTAGAAAGAGAATATAAATATGAATATTAGTATTTTAATAAAGGAGTTGCTGAATGTTTATATATAATTAACTTTAATTTGTTTATTCACATGTAATGACTCAAAATCTTTTTTCTAGCACATACAGACAGTTCTTCAGATGAGTCTGTATCTGTTGCTGAAAGAGTTAAAACGGTGAGATTTATTTACACATTGTTAAACAGTTTTATTGTATGTATTTAACCTATTTTTGGGTTATTTTTAGCATGAAGTTGATTCTCTCCTGAACTGAAGACATTATGTACAACAAGCTTAATATATGCAGAAAAACAACAACTAACAAACAAATAATTACCCTAAACTTGAAATCTTTGTTACTAAAAAGTACATAAATACTGTTAAATACATTTTTCATTTACTCACCCTGGTGTCCTGTTGAACCCCCTTTTTTAAACACTTTTTGTAATAAACACTAATCAACGTATGTTAACAAATGCTGAATTTTGATGGAATGGAGTGTTGATTTGTGTTCTTAAATGAAAAAATGTCTCATGGGTTTGGAGTGACGTGAGGGTGAGTAAATGATACAAAATGTTATTAACCTTTTATTGAATTAAGGTCATTTATTTTTTTTACACAGAACAGGAGAGATTTTACGATTTCAACTGAAAATGTCAGCAAAATGATCACTCAACAGGTGGAATCTACTCACAATGATAAAGGTTTGTATTTCTCATCATTTCCTCTGTATGCAGTTTTTCCTCTGTTTCCCATTTCTTAAATTCCCAATTTTTTTGTAGTATTGTGACAGAAGTTGGAGGATATATTTTAAATTTCTGCTACTAAATAGAAAAATAATAGTTATAGATAACTGTTAACCTACGTAACATCCAATCTTTCAAATATACCATTAAGTATAGAAAATATAAAATGAAATACAAAAAAAATCTGTCAGTATTAAATTTTTCGTTTTATACACATGGCAAAAAAAAAAAAAAAATAGAAGCCCATCCATTATACTGATTTCAGCTCAAAATGAAAATTAAAAATAAACAAAAACGTATATATACTCACCAGCCACTTTGAGGCACACTAGTACCGGGTTGGGCCCCCTTTTGCTTTCAGAGCTGTCTTAATGCTTCGTGGGCATAGACTCAACAAGGTACTGGAAATAATCCTCAGAGATTTTGGTCCATGTTGACATAATAACATCACGCAATTGCTGCAGATTTGTCAGCTGCACATCCATGATGTGAATCTCCCTTCCACCACATCCCAAAGGTGCTCTATTAGATTGAGTCTGGTGACTGTAGAGGCCATTTGAGGACAGTGAACTCATTGTCATGTTCAAAAAAAACAGTCTGAGATGATTCACGCTTTATGACATGGCGCGTTATCCTGCTGGAGATGGCACACTGTGGTCATAAAGGGATGGACATGGTCAGCAACAATACTCAGGTTGGCTGTGTTGTTGACTCAATGCTCAGTTGGTATTAATGGGCCCAAAGTGTGCCAAGAAAATATCCCCCACACCATTACACCACCAGCAGCCTGAACCATTGATGCAAGGCAGGATGGATGCATCCTTTCATGTTGCTGATGGCAAATTCTAACCATACCAGCCGTATGTCACAGCAGAAATCGAGACTCAGACCAGGAAACGTTTTTCTTCTATTGTCCAATTTTGGTGAGCTTGTGCAAATTGTAGCTTTAGTTTCCTGATCTTAGCTGACAGGAGTGGCACCTGGTGTGGTCTTCTGCTGCTGTAGCCCATCTGCCTCAAGGTTTGATGTGTTGTGCATTCAGAGATGCTCCTCTGCAGACCTCGATTGTAATAAGTAGTTATTTGAGTTACAGTTGCCTTTCTATCAGCTGGAACTAGCCTGGCCATTCTCCTCTGAACTCTGGCATGAACAAAGCATTTGCGCCCTCAGAACTGTCGCTCACTGGATATTTTCTCTTTTTTGGATTATTCTCCTGTAAAACCTAGAGATGGTTGTGCATGAAAATCCCAGTAGATCAGCAGTTTCTGAAATACTTTGACCAGACCGTCTGGCATCAACAACCATGCCACCTTCAAAGTCGCGTAAATCACCTTTCTTCCCCATTCTTCTGCAGCAGATCGTCTTGACCATGTCTGCATGCCTAATTGCATTGAGTTGCTGCCATGTGATTGGCTGATTGGAAATTTGCGTTAACGAGCATTTGGGCAGGTGTACCTTATAAAGTGGCCAGTTAAAATTTAATGTTAATTTTATGCTTCAGACACACAAGCTATTTTATTTATAGAATTGCAAACTTGACATCACAGCATGATCATTGTCTTTAAAACAAAAATGCAGTGGGTAGGTCATGTGATAATGACAAATGGTTGTAGTACATCAGAATTCCAATCTATTTACATTCATAATATTTAGAACATACTTTTGTAATGGTCATGTGGTAAATTAAAATTTAAATGTAGTACTTACTCGGGTAGTAGTCAATTTCAGACACACCTACAGTTTCTCTATTTGTCTGTTTCTCTTATGTAAATTACAGTTGTTCCATGCATGGAGTCAATTTATACTTATGTTGTTACTCGTCATATTGCAATGATATATTTTAATTCTCCATCATTGCCTTTTGAACAAAGATTCTCCTGCACACCCCAATGATGCTTCAGAGCCTGCAGGATATTCGGTCATAGAGGAGGCAGTTCAACCTACAGAAGAAGTAGCTCTGCTCGGCTTCAGTTCTCCTCATGCTCAATGGCAGAACCCTGTTGAACCAGAAGACACTCAGGAAATAGGCCAAATGCAGTTATTTGAATTTCTGGCTAAACAGTTTAATACTGTTAACGACACCTTAAAATCAATCGATGCAACTTTAAAGAAGCTGGTAGAAAAGCAGTTACATGACTCTCTGCCACATTATAACCAGGAGCACCTCACATGTCATAAAAATTGAAGCTCTGGGTCCTTTGATCGCCCTCTAGTGGTTCAATGCAATACAGATATCAAACCACACCCCTTTATGTAAACTAATGGAAGTTCAAACAAACAAAAATAATTGAAAGTTCAATAAAACATCCTGAAAAAGTTCAGTTTTGGTCATTTAAGGTAAATATCATGCTGATATTAGTTTGTTTTTTGTTTTTGTGATAAGTTTGATTTTATCAAGTCATTTGAAGCTAAAAAAACAGCGTGTCTTCATGATTGATCGTGAACTTCCGGAGCTTTGACAGGAGATTGAAGCTCTAACCAACTATTAGTTTTAGATTTGTGTGTTATTCAACACTTTTATTATTATTCTTTGGTGATGTTTGTTTTCGTAACATTAAATGTGGGCTTTATGTAAGGGATGAAGTACATTTCAGGTGGCTGTTCTCGAAGAATAATGCCTGACAGGCTTCTCGGCAGCCCGATGCAAATCAAAGGGCTGTTTTATTAGACTCAAGGGATTTACATTATCCCACTTATTACAAGGCTTCTTGCCACCTAACATAAAAAATTTGACAATAGACATTGTTCTGAACTGTAATAGTTTATTATTTCTTTGATTAAAGGAAAAGCTTACAGAAGCGAAAATGGCTGAACGGAGCATACACAAACCTACATATTATTCAGTCACAAAACACTCAAAAACAACAGCATGACTGACAAGCATATAGGATCTAAACATATTTGCTCACAGTAAAGATGATTCGAAGTACCCTGATGAGAATGTGCTGCTATCTCAGAATACTTCATAATGTTATGACAGAACAGTCAGTATCAAGTATTTCTGACAGCTGTATAATAAAAGTTTACTTATAAATGTTGTTATATAGGGTAACGTGCCTAATGTTAGCCACAACGGAAAATAAAGGCAGGTGATTGCAGGAATTAAAGCATGAAGCATGGAAAAATTGAATACTGGTTTGCTGTGCTCTCGAAGACAAACCTTTAGAAAATGCTTGTGATGTAGTGCTATCTGAATATGAAAAAAGGCGTGTCTAAAATCCATGGACATAAGCCAGTCCCTTGCAGGGTGAATTTTTTAACAAGGATCTGTTTTAGTGTTAAGACATTGCCTTATTACATGTATCATATTTTCCTTAGTTTGTGTTGCAATAGCCCTGCAGTGATTTATTAGGAAGTCTAATGTGCTGAAAGGCGTGGTTAGGAGGAGCACACAAAAGGCGAACAGATAAAGACGTGTAAGAAACTGTCTTTACTCGGTTTGTAAAGAATATCTATAAACAGACTACAAGTCAAGGACATAGTAAGTGTTGGAAACTCAGAAGTAAACAGACCAGCAGACTCTGGATGTAACTTCAAAAGGTGAGAATATTAGTATAGATACTGGTCATTTCTTTTACATTCATTTACATGTATTTTCTTATCTGTTTTTTTTTTAACCTGTCACTCAGATTCGAAAACCTAGGAAGCCACTTTCAGTTTTGATTCAGGGAAAGAGAAAGATGAAGATGCTAAGTTAACACCCCACCACGTACAGTGACTATTAAAGAGTAGATAAATAGATTATAATGTTACAGTTTTAACAACTGCATGTTATTAAATGCATGTATGAGTAAATGCATGCATGTATAGTTGTGTCAGCACACTTAATATTTTTCCAAACACTATAGCCAATATTTGAACCCATTGTGACTCATAAATATTAATTAAATAGCTTATGAATAATAAACAAAACGAAACATTCCTCCATGAGAAAGGTTTAATAAATGTTTTCTACAGGATATGGATGAAGAGTCTGAATCAGCATCTGAAGGTGAACTGACAAGTAGCACTGAATCTGACAGTCTGAGTGAGGGCAACAGAAAAAACAAAAGGAAAAGGGCATGGAGACAAACGGGTAAGCTAAAGATGTTCATTAAATTATAATAAAATATTAATGGAATCATGTCTCCAATACCTGACCTTTGTTTCAGTATCCAGTAATCTTACAAGAGAATCAAAGCTGAATGTCACATGTGGCGATAAAAAAGGCATCCTGAATCTGGAGAAGTATTATGACAGTAGGTGCAGATGCTAACATAATGCAGGCAATACAAGTCCATTCCAGTAGTGCTTAAATAAACTAAGTTGTGATCTTCAGTGCAGGAGTGTATCTTTAGTGAAGGCCGGTGGTTTACGCCTGGTGACTTTGAGAAGTTTGGAGGAGGAGAAAAAAGCAAGAAGTGGAAATACAGCATCCGATATAATGGACTTCCACTCCAGAAACTCATTGATGTGAGCTGAACATTTTCACTGCGAAGAGTTTTAAGTCATGCTTGCTTAAAAAAAAATTCTAATTGGCAAGATATCATCATTATTATTATTCAAATGCTTGAGTGCCTATTTATTTGAAACTATTATGGGATATATCTCTTTCGGTTCTTGTCTCTGTTGCACAGATCAACTCTGCTGAATTTCCACCTGTTGCTGACGAGCTCAGGAAAAGGAAGGTTAGACGCTGACAGGATGACTTGACATAAAATATTATATTGGTTGATATAAATGCAAGCTCTTTTTGTAACCACCTAGCACAGAAATGCTTAATTAGCTGCTTTCCAAATGGTGCACTAGGCACTTATGCAATATGTACTTATGCACTTACACACTCAACAGCATAGTAAATGAATGTAGCGTCGTTCAACATGGAACACTAATGGTAAGCGGAAATTCAGTTTCCCAGATGATGTTTGATGGTTGCCAAATTAGCGGAATAAATAATCAAACAACCAAATAATACCTGCTCTTTCTTGCCCAGATTTTTTGCATTCGTCTCTCACTGGCATACAGCATGTACTTGTTAAATTGATGTTAAAAAATTAAACGTGGGCCACGTAAGTGTGGCGTATCATGACCCACTTTTAAAATACTTTTTTTTTTTTTTTTTGAGTAAAGAAAAAAATTCTACCAATCAGGTGGCTTCGAGAAAAAGCACACCTATAGCACACCTAAAGCAAAACGCTTCATGGGTTTATAAAATTCATTACAGTCATGGCACACCAAGATATTTGGCCCAGTTCAGGCCCAGTCATGAGTTCTTAACTTGGCTGAGACTTGGTTCATATATGGTCCATGTTTGGCCCTTGTATGGAAGCCAAACTTGGTCCAGTCATGTACTGTAATTCACTGGGCATGCGGGCCAAGCAAAAACTGCTTGTGTGGGCCAGATTTGGGCCAGAGAATTTTTGCTATGTGGGTGTCATGACTAACCGCATTCACCATCTGGAGGCGCTATCATCACTCTCATAGGATAATTCTGCTTTCATAATCCAAAGTAAATAAAGTAATCCAACATGAGCGCCTGAAAGCTCCGCCCTGTCCGCTACTAACCAAAGCTGCGACTATTGAGTGCTTGAAGTGTCCAACATTCCACACTTCATTTTACTGGCTGAATAAGAGCATCATCCAGGTAATTAAAATGCACTTATTATTATTTTTTTTTTCAGATCGACTCTCCTGAATCCTCCCTTGTCACTTACAGACCTAGAAAAAGGAAGGTTAGATGCAGTGATATATAAAAAATCCTTATTGAGATTTATAGAAGTTTAAGCTACACAAAAGTATAAAGGTGCAGTAGGTGATCTGCCAAAATGCGAACTGTTTAGCATAATATCTTTGAAAACACAATCCCTCTTCTGCCGTCCAAAGCCACGCCTCCTGAAATCACGAACAGCCACCTTAAAGATGACAGCAGACAACCCACTAGATCATGTTATTCGCCAGTTTGAAAACTTTATAGTACTTTATAATACTGCATTTCCAAACAAAAAAACTGTTATATTTAGCACGTTTTCAGTTGTGTGGCAAACAAAACTTGTTATAATGTGCAATATTTCATGCTTGCAAGGATCGCTGGTCTCACTCTCTTACGTGCTTTGTCCTAAAGCGACTACTGTATGCTTAGTGTTTTTTCCAGCGGCTTGCCGATATTACACTTATTACTAATCCACACTTGCATGCTATTTCAGACCTAATATTCAGAGTAGCATGGTAAACAATATAGGGGCACGTCACAGGTTGTCATTGTTAAAAAATGAACCAAAGTGAATAAAAAACCAACTTCACCTCAGTAAAGCAGGCTAGGTTGAATAGCGCTTTTGACTCATGTTTTGTTGTTAAACTTGTTAAAAATCTACATCATTGATGCTGTAAAAGTTCCCTTTTGAAATTGAAAAAAGTCACATTAATCGTTCGCTGGAAGATTTCAGTGGCTGAACAACACTTCTGTGCATATAACCCATTCGTAACAAAAAAAAAAAACATACATAAGCCTTGCGTGACTGAAAGAGATTAAAAATATAAAGTTACCTGTCTAAAAGAAATACTTCAGCCATGGTGTCGTCCTTTTTCCAGAGTGCAAAAGTAACTCCAATAATAATTTAGCATTTGTTTTTACCGCTGTCACTCTCTCTCTCTCGTGTCCATGTGAACGCAGGCCAGGTGCAAGTGCAAATTGGACTGTGAAGAGACTTTCAACCAGCACAACAAAAAATGTTTCTGAAGACAATCGCCTACTGCACCTTTAAACTAAATTTAATGTTTGTGAAAGGTTTACCGCTTTCTCCTAATTGTATCTCATGCATCTCCTCTGTTGTTTATAGTGCAAACAACAACGGTACTCCAGCTCTGGTCAGTACAATAATAATCTCTGACCAGACAATAAGCTCATCATTATAACCACTGTGTATAAGATATATGTCAGTGTTTTTTGAGTGTTGAAACATTTGTTGTAGAATCAGAGAGGACAAAAAGTGATGGTGAAGATGATGACAGTGACAACAGTGTTCTTAATGTTTTTGACTTTGGTGATGATGATGATGATGGCATTGAAAGGTCACTGGATGTTACCTGCGGTTCTGCCTCTGTGTCAGACTCTGACTCTTGTGTCCTACACAAACGACGTTTTGCCAGAGGTTTGTGAGCGATCACCATTGGTGTCATAATATGATTTTTTTATATATACAGCTGAAGTCAAAATTATTAGCCCCTCCCTGTTTATTTTTTATTTTTTTCAAAATTCTGATTAAGAGAGTTTTTTAACACATTTCTAAACAATAGTTGTAATATGTTTATCTTATTTTACAATGTTCATTGAGATTCACTTGCTATGTCTTTCTGAATAAAAATTGGTCAATTTTTTTTATCCCTCATTCTGTCACTCTGAAAAGATGTCAGTACATGGCTTACATCACTATTATGATTGGCTGTCATCATTGCATGAAAATAGTTCAGTGCATCCAGCTATTACATGTGAATGTTTCAGAAATCCTGAGCAACAGTATAGTAAGATCTACACTGCAAAACAAAGGCTTTTCGTACTTTAAAAAACAAATTTTTTCTTGTTTATAGTCCAAATATCGAAATATTCTTAAATCAAGATGCACTTTCTAGACAAGCAGAAACTATTGTTTTGTTTTAAGGAATAATATGCCAAAATTAAGTGTGTTTTTCCTTAAAACGTGCAAAATTATCTGCCAATGTGGTAAGCAAAATAATCTTGTTTTTTGCCTTTGACATGAGATTATTTTCCTTACCCTATTGGCAGATTATTTTGCTGGTCTCACTTAATTTTTACATACAAAAAAATAATTTTGACAACTTTTTGCTTGTCTAGAAAATGTTTTTTATTTAAGATTTTTTTTTACATATTTGGATTAAAAATGTATGTATCTAAATGAAGAAAAGCAACAATAAATTTTTATTTATTTATAAGTATTTATTTATATGTTACTTTCTGTGAATTTCTGTTTAGATATATTATGTGTTAAACCACAATTTTGTTGTAAGCAAATATTTTAATTATAAATGGGCTTTTGAAGAATGTAAAATGTAAAAGAATGTAAAATTTTCGTTTTGGCTTTTAAAATAGAGCCCTACAAACAGACAAAACTACCAAAGTATGACTCGCAAGAAAAGTATAATTCATTTGAACCATAAAGGTGGTTAGGGTGGGAGTGCCTGTATTTTGGCGGGCATCATACTTGTCACGATTTCACTTTCACTTTGCTCAGCTAATCGGTTGTATAGGCAAACTGCGTTGATTCTTTCACAAAATAGCACTTTGTAAAACGGACTTTCTTGATTCACCGGGGATCATTTATAGTCGTTACTCGTTAGTATTGTTTTTCGGTAAGTGAGCTCTCACCACATGATTTCAGTAGATATTTGTATTGATATTTTTTAGAGTTAAGCGTTTAGTTGAAACCATGGTGCACAATTTGTGCGAAATATACATGTAGAATAGTTGAGTAAAGTGATAAAGGTAATTTACTGTTTAAAAGTGTGTGCGTTTGTTAGTTTTATGAGCACAATAAAAACGTATCTACTGTAGATCACGTGGACTTTTGCAAACCGCTATTTCAGATCGCAGATCAGTTTAAGTTATTCTTCAGTGTTGCAGTTATCTTTCCCTTATGAAATAGCAGGAGAATATTAGTAGCCTACATGTCAGTAAGTTTGTATTGATACACGTGTTTATAAAAATATATTATTTGAAATGTTCGTGTGGAAATGGCTTAGCTTTTTGCAAGATTGTTTGAACTGAACTGAATTAAAAAATTTTCGAGTTAGTTATTTCAAGGAAACTTTGAAAATAAATCTCATTTGGTGTATGTGTTATTCACTTGATGTTTATTTTCATCATTGTTGTTTAATCAAATTCTTTTTGAACTGAAAGTGTTTATAAATGAAAGAATGCCATTGAAGTCATTGAATTTATATCAGTTTTGGTTGCAAAACCTCTCCAGCCTCACCATACAAATATCTATAACTGACTAACAAAAAGTGCATCCTGTAATAACTGAAAAATCCTAACTGCATACGTTCTTACAATGAGCTGACAGATTGTTTAGTCAGTGTAAATGTGTTGAAAAGACATATATACATCTTTTTACAACCATAAAATTGACGTCTCTCTCTCGTTTTGAACCAGTAATTTATTCAGAGAGCAGCATGGAATCTGACAGCGATAGCTATGATGAAATGGAAGGTGGACGAAGGAAAATGCCTGAACGATTGTGCAAAAAGGGACCTGCCAAGGGTAATTGAGCTCTCCAAATTATATAAAAACAATTATTGTATATTACATGACAATTTTAGAAAGGATTTTTAAAAGAGTCTGACTGTGTACATCATGTGCAGTGGAGATTGAAACTAGCAAACAGTACAGTTTCCAAAGTTTTGGTCACTGCTTAGTGCTATTTGAACATATATAACAGGAGTTCCCTCAGAAAACCTTTCTGCATCCACATGGAAATGAGACAGCTGAGTTAAAACTGTAATTTATATGCCACACCTCTATGTAGCACTGTAAACAAACACAGCTAAAGGATACACTGAAATTGCTAAGAAAAACAATGCAATGAGCATGCACGTGAAGTCCTTTAGCATGCTTATACAGACAAAAAAAAAAAAAACGGAATACACAAATTTGAAGCTTGTAACATTGACTTCCATAGTATTTTTTTTCTGCTATAAAAGTCAATGGTTACAGGTTTACAGTTTTCTTCAAAATATATTTTTAAGAACAATAGAATAACAGGTATAAGCAGTATATTGTAGTGGATTCTGGTGCATGTAAACGTCTTTGCACACTGAGTTTGACTTTTTATTTTTGGCATTTTTTATATTCATTGTCCTAAAATTTATATAAGCACTTGTAATGTGTTTTAATGGTTTTGATGTTTTCCCAGAGATGGGTTGCAGCTGGAAGGGCATCCGCTGCGTAAAAACTTGCTGGATAAGTTGGCGGTTCATTCTGCTGTGTCGACCCCGGACTAATAAAGGGACTATAGCCGACAAGAAAATGAATGAATGAATGGTTTTGTTGTAATAATGCTAATAAACTCAGTAGCGCCCGCAGCATTTAAAATGGCATATGTGCAAGCTGCCATTTTTGTAGTTTCCGGATGTATTGTGAGGGGTTATTCCCCCTCCTTCTGGCCTCGTGGCGCTGTGACTTCATTGTTTTCAAAAATAACTTTTGCCTTTTGTGCAGGGCTACATAATTGTTGGCATTTTGAGATTTCTATTCAAAATGTTTGTTTCATTGCACCAACAATTTTGGTGTTGTGAGGATGAAAATGGTAGTACATTGCTGTGTGGATGGGGTTTAACTGTCCAGTTTTCACTGACTTTGCAAGATGGTTAAAAAACAAAACCTGTTGGCAACATTTTATTGTGCCTTCTCCTGAAAATAATTGTGTTCCTTAATGTTGGGCAGCCAATCAGAATAAAGCATCCAACAGCCTGTTGATAGTAAAATAAATGGCTATAAAATGTAATACACCATAACCAAAATGGCTTGCTATAATGCCTGACACTTTTTAAGAAAGTTTTTACAATGACAACTGACAGTGTTTATTGTAAATGTGTAAGACATTTTCTTATCGTTTCACAATCACAGAAGTGTCGTTCCTGTCTGGGTTTGAATCAGAAATTTGTCCAGACAGCAGCATGGCATCTGACAGTGAGAATTATGAAAAATATGAAGAAAGGGAAGATGAAAGAAGCAAAGTGGCAGATCGATTGAGCAAGAAGGGACCATCTAGAGGTAACCAAAGTCTCTGAGCAAGCTCTTCAAATTGCATAAGCTTTTACAGCTAAGAGTCCTAATCTAATCCCTTATGGAAAATCTCTGGGCAATTCTCTGCTATAACATGTATATCCCTTATGTTTGGTTGTGAACTCTTGAACCTTTGTTTCAGACTACAGGCCGAACCATAAAAGAGCTAAAAACCAACTTCCTGTCACTTGTGGGGAAAAGGAAGGCATCCTGTGTTTGCGCAAATATAATAATGGTAGGTGACAAACTTGTTACAGGATACATGTGTGTTTAATATATCAGTGCCAGAAAACAACAACAGGTGGAACAACCACATGTTCAGTGGTTGAATGAATTACAGCTGTATTTCTGTCTTCAGTGCAGCCATGCATCTTAAGTGAGGGCCAGTGGTTCACGCCCTCTGAGTTTGAGAGGTTTGGAAAGAAGGAGAGGAACAAAAAGTGGAAGATCAGCATCTTTTATCATAAAATTCCACTTCAGACATTCATAGAGGTGAATAGAACTGTTTCGTTACTAATCAGTACTACCCTTTATTAATCCTGTACAGTTATGGTCAAAAGCATTGACAATGACTTAAACTTTGTGTTTTGCTTAAGCTAAATGTTGTGCATAAAGATCAAATGTATTTTAAATAATTACAAAAATAACTTAATTGACCAAAAAAGAGAACTAGAAGTTTCTCTGTTTCTTAGCTCTGACACAAAATGACCAGGTAATAACATTTCACTGATTGTGTCAGTAGCTGGTGAAAGTGTGTACTGTAATGAGTGCTAGTCAGCATCATGGGCGTAGCTAGGTCTATTTTAGGGGGGCTGTAGCCCCCCTGTATTTCTATTCAGCCCCCCTAAACTTTTCCGATTAGCTCAAACTATAGATCAAATTATCGCCTCGGTCCCCTTTAAATTTGATATGAAGACGGCGGCAGAATTCGGCTCATCTGCGTCTTTCGCTTTTCATTTGATCAGCAAACCACAGCTGTGCAGAGCGAGAGAACAACGTGCATGTTTATCGATAAATTGTTATAATATTTGCTTATTTGCAGTTCTTTGCTATGGATACACTTATCACTCGTACCCCAATGTCAGATAGGAGCAATCCAGTTTCCTCAGTGCTCATCTCATAAGCTCACAGCTGTTTCCTCCAGTGAAAATGTAACTCTTAACGAACATTTTACTATTTTTATTTCAAAACGAACTACCATCATAAAGCACATTGCAGTGCATGTGGCATTATCTATACCACAGTCATGCACAGAAAGTATTAAACACAGTGACATAAGCACTTAGTGAATGTACTCATTTTAACTGTCAGAGATAGACCCTGACAGAGATAGAAACATCATGTGGTATTATTTTAATATTATGATTCAGTTCGTGAAATATGTGAATTAGTTAAAATATATATATTTATGTATGCCATTTACTTAGAAAAGTGGCAGTTTATTTTTTAAATACATGGAAACAAAAATTGTACTTCAACATGTAAGTGGCTTTTACTACAGTGAACTGAGTTCTGAATGAGCCAAATAGGGTCAACAACCCTAATGACAATGCACATCTATACAATACAGTGAAATACTGCTAGTTTATAGTTTAGCATGCAACCCTACCATATTAGTTAAACATTTTTAAGTGTATTACTATAAATTATTACTAAATAATTAATTTTTTCTCATAAAGGGCTGTGCCCCCCTAAAATGAAAATCTTAAAATCGCCCCTGGTCAGCTTAGATATTTACATGAAATGACGCCTACCCTTTTGTTGTCTGTTGGAAGGAATGCATCAAGATAGCCACCATTTTAGTACAGAGTAGCGCTCCTTTGAAATGAATGCACCAAGGTGCAGTGGAGGACTGGCCATCCAGAGCCACCATATATATATATATATATATACACACGCACACACACACACACACACACACACACACACACACACACACACACACACACACAATTGAAGTCAGATTTATTAGTACCCCTGTTTATTTTTTACCCAATTTCTGTTTAACGGAGAAAATATTTTTTTCAACACATTTCTAAACATAATAGTTTTAATAACTCATCTCTAATAACGGATTTATTTTATCTTTGCCATGATGACAGTAATTAATATTTGACTAGATATTTGCAAGACACTTTTATACAGCTTAAAGTTACATTTAAAGGCTTAACTAGGTTAATTAGGTTAACTAGGCAGGTTAGGGTAATTAGGCAAGTTATTGTATAATGATGGTTTGTTATGTAGACTATCGGAAAAAAATGTAGCTTAAAGGGGCTAATAATTTAAAAATGGTTTTTAAAAAATTTGAAATTGTCTTTATTCTTGCCAAAATATAACAAACAAGACCTTTTCCAGAAGAAAAAATATTATCAGACATACTGAATTTATTTTTTTTCGCTCTATTAAAAATAATTTGGAAAAATGTTTAAAAAAGAAAAACAAATCAAAGGGGGGGCGGGGGGGTAATAATTCTGACTTCAACTGTATATCTACAGTATCGTGAGTTTTCCCAGTTGTCAGTATGCAATTTTTTTTTTTTTTAATTATGAAAATTATATTTTTACATAACTTTTCTCCATCAATAGATAAGTGACTGCATGGGCATTGCCGACAAAGAGCATGAGTTTGTGTTCCTGGAAATTTATAATCCTCCGACCTAGTTAAATTTGATCAAATCCGTGTCCTGAAACACACCCCCTCTCCCGCTTTCACTTCTCATTCTAACTGAGGGAGCGATTCGTTTGTGAATGAATCTCTTTTATGAACGACTTGTTCACTTACAAAACAATAATGCATGTTTTTGGCACCGCAGCATCTTGTTGTCACCTTTCATTTACATTGTTTGCTTATTTAATGTAACAAAACTAGCATAAGCCTAGAAATTATTGCGAGTTGGTGCTACTTACGGTTAATGCAGTAAGTGACTGTATTATTATCAATAACGTTACTTGTTGAGCACAAAAGTTCATAACATACAAAAACGTAAAAAACAAAGTCTTACCTATGAAATGTTCTGCCTTTATGCTTTTGTTTTCTTTGTTTGCATATATATATATATATATATATATATATATATATATATATATATATATATATATATATATATATAATGATAAGAAGGGGGAAGAAGAGCTTCCAATAACTGTTAGCCATTGTTGCCTCCTAAGACACATGCAACCATCAACACTGCAATCAAAATGGCCTTGTATGCAAAGATTTTGCAGCTGCACCATTTCATAAGTCAAGAGTCATGATGAAGTGGCTTAAAGGTCATTACATTGAAAATTTGAATCTGTGTATCTGTAATCCTGGTGGTGCTCAGTGGTAGATCGGATATGCGGCTGGCCGGAAGTGCGATATGCACATCACTATAACAGCATTTTTTATGACGCTGTATAACAAGAATGAATATTTTTACAGTACTGTGATGGTTGGGTTTAGGGTTGGGGTGGGGGTAGGTGTTAAAGACACAACTTATTGGGTAATTTAATAGATAGCATGAATAATACTCAGTACAACTACAGTTTTTACATTACTGTGATGGGTTTAGGGTTGGGATGGGAGTAGACGTTAATAAAATACAATAAATGGGAAATTTAATAAATAATATAAACAATTCTCATTACCTTCTGCAACCATATCCGATCTAGCAACAACCCTGCTCAGTGGTGATATTCACAAGAATTGTGTATTATTTTTTCTGGTGATGAATACTTTAAGAAAATCAACTGAAATGCTAAGCAGAAGCAACACTCAGGAATCTATCATACACCAGGCAATTGTTGTTTAATGTTGTGTGCCAATTTGTTTAAATAGTGAATTGATTTACACCCATTTGTGTGCCCCTAGGCTGTGTGGAAAGAAGTGTGTTCAGGCACATTCTTTAAACATTGCTATTTTGAGCCAGTTTAAATAGACTTCAGCATTGACCAACTAAATCTTAGTCTAAAGTCAGTGGTGCTATATGAGTGCTTGGTGTTTAAAAAATGCATTAGTAATAGACAAGTATTGGTGGGTGCACAACTCACATACACTCTGCTTACATACAAAGGGAAGCAGAGCAGCACACATACTGTGCATTCCCAATTTTTACAAATGAAAGGTATACATTATACAGAGATCAACATTAGAAGTGGATCATCACCTTTCCTCGAAATTGTCCTAAAATTTGTCCAGCACAAATATTAGAATAAAATATTTTAGAAGTTGTCCCCATTCTTTTTCATTAAAAAAAAACATTTCTGATTCACTTCGGATATTGACTACTGTAAAAAAAATTGCATTGACTTTGTCTTATAGATGGTCTCCTAACATGCTTTAACCTCATATAAATGGTTTGTGGTAATGGTTCATCATAGCAGGAGCAGAATAAAAGGGAATGATGAGACTCTTTTATACCATACACTTGGTGCACTCACCATTTTATCCATCATTACACTAGCAAAAGTGTTTTTGGACACTGCATGCTTGTGCGCTTCAGATCATTTGCTAGTTCAAATTGTGCTTGATATTACATTCAAAACTGTCTAAATTAGAAGCTAAACACTTTTTTTTTCTAATCTTAGGATGGGCTTCTTTCATCTCAACAGTTTCATCACAAGAAAAGCCGGGTTCAGACTGAAAATGAACAGGTTTGCTCACAAAAATGTTCCAAATTATGGTTGGTACGAACTTTGAGAAATAGCAGGTAGTTTTTGCACAAATTGAATGCTGATAATGGCGAGTTTTGAAAAAAAATAAAGGATTCTGAATCATTGAATTTACGTGGATCAGAATGCTGGCTAATGCAGAGTTCACAATGTCATTCCATTCCATGATGACTGTACATTTTGAGAAACATACAGTAAATTTAATCAGCTCATTGTATATTTTCATTCAAGCTGCTTACAGAATATATTTTCTGTCATGGACATGCCTGCATTTTTCTGTTTTTACAGGGCGGGAGAGAGCTGTCCTCCTCTGACTCTGGTCAGTATTTCAGTAACCATTTAAAAAGAACATGCACTCATTAACAAAGATGTGTAATGTGAATCAAATATATATTAAAGGGATAGTTCACGCAAAATAAATAAATAAATTGCTGCTAATTTATTTATCTTCAGGACATTCTAGATTATGGTTATTATTGTTTTTTCTCCAGCAGAATTTAGAAGTAAATGTTGCCTCTTTTTTTTCACTTTTAAATGTTCAGATAAATGCTCAGTAAGTCAAGTATTAGAAAAGCCATTCAAGAAAGATTCCCTGATTGAGGAGTCCAATAGACACAGAAATGTAATTGTTTTGAATCAGGAACTTGTTCTTAAAGTTAGTGGTTCTAAAAATCATAACATTAACCTTTACATTAAAAATTATTCTGGCAGATTTGATTTAATCAAAGCTTGGACATGTAGAAACAATGTAGCATGCTCTGATACAGTGGGAATGCTCCAATATTCCTAATGTTGTATAATGTACATTAATGCATAAGCGCTTTCATTTTTTTCTAGATAATATACAGTATATGAATATTTGTAAACGGTAACCACACAAAATGTTTAGCTGCAAAATGTTTTTAAATATGATTTAAAAAAGATTATTGTATGTACATAAATTTGCACATCATCATCATAATTTGTCTGTCTTTTAATTGTAGCTTGATATGAGTTTTAATATTAGAATATACACTTACTGACCTTTTTACTGGTTACACCTGTCCAGCTTCTAGTTGACAAATTTCTAATCAGCCAATCACATGGCAGCAACTTAATGCATTTAGACATGCAGACATGGTCAAGACAATCTGCTGCAGTTTAAACTAAGCATCAGAATGGGGAAGAAATGTGAATTAAGTGACTTTGAATATGGCATGGTTGTTAGTGCCAGATGGGCTGGTCTGAGTATTTCAGAAACTGCTGATCTACTAGGATTTTCACGCACAACCATCTCTAGGGTTTACAGGGAATGGTCCGAAAAATCCTGCCTTGTATCAACGATTCATTCTAGTGGTGATGGTGTAATGTGTGAGGGATCATTTTTTGGCACACTTTGGGCCCATTAGTACCAAATGAACAGTGTGTCAACACCACAGCCAACCTGAGTATTGTTGCTGACCATGTCCATCCCTTTATGACCACAGTGTACCCATCCTCTGATGGCTCCCTCCAGGCAGAATAATGCGCCATGTCATAAATCGGCAATCATCTCAGACTGGTTTCTTTAACATGACAATGAGTTCACTGTCCTCAAATGGCCTCCACAGTCACCAGGTTCAATCCAATAAAGCAACTTTTGGATGTGGTTGAACGAGAGCATCATGGATGTTGCATGATGCTATTATGTCAACATGGACCAAAATCTCTGAGGAATATTTCCATTACCTTGTTGAATCTATGCCACAAAGGATAAAGGCTGTTCTGAAGGCAAAATGGGGTCCAACTCGGTACTAGTAAGGTGTACCTAATAAAGTGGCCGGTGAATGTGTATTCAGTAGCAACTTGTACCAAAAATTGTTTAAGTGAAGTGTGTGCCAGAACAGGGGGAAAAATTGGCGATGGTGACTGATGTAATTAATCTGCAATTCATTAGTAATTTTTTAAGTAAAACATACCAAAATTAAATCAAATGAATGTCATATTTTCTCTTTATTTTTCCTCAAAACAAAGATTCTGAACACTCCACTGATGCTCCAGAGCCTGCTGGATCTTCTGACATAGAGGAGGCTGATCAGACTAGTGAAGAACAAGAAGCAGCAGCAGCAGATCCAATGAGTGAATGCCAGAACCCTATAGATTTACAAGAGACTCCAAAAACAGACCAGATGCAGTTAATTGAACTTCTGGCTAAACGGTTTAATACTATGAACAATGCCCTAAAATCAGTAGATTCGTCTATAAAGACGTTTATGAAAAAATAAATTTAAGACATTTCTGTTCCGTTCCATACGTAGTATGCATTTTTTTCAAGCTCCTAGTTGTATAAACGCGAATGCTTATGTTACTGCTGTTGCTTGTGTCCTGACTTCACTTACTGTTTGTTTCCTGGAGTCTGGTAGGTTTGCCTGAACCATCAAGCTTTATTGTTTTAATTTCATTTTCTATCTTGTTTAGTTTGTCTTTATTATACTTTATTTGTATTTTTTTTCTTTGTGTTTATGTTTGTTAAGTTAACGTTGAATATTTGTTGGAGAATGGGTTTTTTGATTCTTTATTTGTTCTTGTTTAGTTATGTGTTTTATTATAATAAATGTATTTGTTTTGCTGAAATTGGATTCACATGTCCTCTTTATGATGTGTTTCCCTTGTGAATTTAAATTTAATAACTGTTCATAAAAATTGATTGACATTGGATATATCACCCAAAATAAAAAAGGTTCTGTTACTCGCCTTCACTTGTTCCAATTCTGTTTTACTTACTTTTTTCTTTTGAACACATACGGGGATCTGTTGAACATGTAACCGTTGACTTCATTAGTATTTATTTGTTTTTCCTACTAAGGAGGTCGATGGTAATGTTGTCAGCTTTCTTCAAAATATCAGATTTTGTGTTCAACTGAAAAAAAGGAACTCATAAAGGTTGAGAGTGAGAAAATAGCAAGTAAATTTTCATTTTTAGGGTTAACTATCCCTTTAAACATTGGAATGCGCATAACCCCTAGCCCCGGTCCTCACAGTGAGGTCAGTAGCTCCACTGAATGCATTCTGTCTGACATGCTTATGCGTGATGTGTGTTTGTGTAATGAGTGAGGAGGTGTCAAGGAAATCACTACCCAAATGAAGGTATGCAGAATTAAAAGAGATTTAACTGGCTCTGAAAAGTCCAAAATTATATAATATCTTGTAAATGTGTATAGATGTATATGTTTATACAACAGTACTGTCTGGTTCTTGAATCTGATTGGCTGAAAGTCGTGTGATATTCTGCAATATCAGAACTCGTATAGGCCCAATCCCAATTCTACCCCTTAGCCCTTCCCCTTACCCATAACTCTCGTTTTGCGCGTGCCTGTGAAGGGGTAGTGGTGTCCCAATTCTCTTTAGCTTGAAGGCATAGGGCTAAAGAGAAGGGATATACACCCGTTCAAACGAAGATTTTTCAGGACCACACTCAAAACTAAGGGGTAGGAGAAATTTCACAGAATACACTAGCTCCAGCTGCTCCCGAAAGTAAGGTAAACACTAATTAGTAATTTTTGTCATCATTACGAATTTTTAAAACAAACAAACACGTTTTAATATATTCATAACCGCGTTCGTGTTTTACCGTCATGCTTTAAAAAAAAAAAAAAAAAAAACTGTTCGCAATCTATACCCAACAAACACACAACGTTGCCTCAACGTAGCGACCTTCCTACAACGTTGTACCAACATTGCAAAAAGGTTGAGGATTCTACGTTGTTTCTAAAGGTTGTCACAACGATGTCATAAGGTTGCCATTTAAACATCATGAGGGTCGCATGCTTTAGGTTGTGCTTAGGTGGCGTGGACGACCACTGTACAACATTTACTGGTCACAGCTGAATCAGTTTAAATTTCAACAAGCCGTCGTCTCATTCATCAACGACCGAGGAGACGTGAGTATTGCTTTATTTCTTCATGCTAAATAAGATACATAAATCGTGGATATTCAAACAAACCTATGATTTCGACAACAATCTGTTCCAACATTACACACACACAAAAGCCGTAATGAAGTTATTACGAGCGAGTAACATTTCGGCATTCCGTTAACGGACGGCAACAACATTAAAATCATTATGTTAAATCTCTCGATAAAACATTTCCTGATTATTTACCTACGCCTTGTCTTTAGTCAAATGGACAATAATGTTTTTGAAGTTCAGTTTTTTCCATATCCATCGTGATCAGTTAGTATGATACTTCATCACACAAGCCGACCCACTTTTTACAAAACACAAAATAACTTTTAAAAACAAAACATCTCTGTGCAGATTGCGTCCCGTTAAAGGAACAGTTCACTCAAAAATGATATGTACTCACGAATTATTTGCCCTGTAAATAATAAGTGATTCCAAACCTTTAAGTTTCTTTATTCTGTTGAACATTAAAGACTGTAAGCATTTGCTTTCATGGTAGGAAAACACTATGGAATTAAATAGTTACAGTTTTCCAGCTTTATTTAATACATCTTCTTTATTGTTTAGCAGAAAAAAAGCTAAATAAGTTTGGAACAAATAAAGAATGAGGCTAAAATGGCAGAATTGTCAGTTTTGGGTGAGCTATCCCTATAAGTTAAAGTATATAAATTGAGGTTCATATGCCTAATTAATATAGATAGTAATTAAAAGGTCTGCTAGTCTAAATTTCTATTTTGATTGGTCTTTTGATGTTTTATTTAAAACCCACTCTTCTCTTTGCTCAACAGGCTATTTTTACATGGAGGTAATCTTCTATTGATAATTTCTGGATTTTAATTATGCGTAAGTTGCATGAAACTATTGTTTAATCACTCACTGTTGTTTTCAAATTACTTATGTAACTTGTCTTTCAGAATGTTTTCAGCTGTTGAATTCACCTCAGATCAGTGTTGCTGTAATTCCTGATGGAAAGAAGAATTGAATGAGGTAAGAAGTATACTATTCTATTTACTATTAAATGTAGTTATGTTACCTAAAACAGCATGTCCATAATGTGGAAAATAGATCATGCTTATGAAAAATTACTTTATTATTTTGTACAGCTGTTATTGAAATGACACTAAGTTTAACATTTCATTAACAGCGAGCAACGCCACAACTACAGGACCTCTTCTTTCTCTTCTCATAATTTACAGTAAGTAAGTATTCGGAGACCTACTCTGACTTCTGTTAACTCAAACCTGTTTTCCCTGTATCTCTAAATTTATTTAATTGTTTGTAATTTTGGTATATGATATATTATTAAAACATTAAAATAAAGTAGGCTACATAATTACTCTGGAGATTTTATATGTAATGAAATTACAATAAATGTCTGAAACTTCAATAACTTGCTAGTCATAGTCATTTCCTGTGTAGTGCTGTTGTGTCAAGCTCTGATCTGTCCTCTCTTGTTCACTGCCTATTTTGACTTTTGTCTGCTGTGGATCTCTGAAGCTGGATTATCCGTTGAATTTGTTTCTTCCTCTGACTGCTTTCTCCATACCAACAACTACGACTGGTCTTCAGCTGCGCTCCCCGGTCTGCTGTATTCTCCAGTCCAGAGCTTCACTGACCAGTGTTTGAATTTTAATTTATATATTTATTTATATATTTATTTACATTTTAATGATTTCTTGTTTACTTTTCTTGTTTGTTTACCCTTTAGTTTAAATATATATATATATATATATATATATATATATATATATATAATCTAAACTTTATTTTATACTGTTTGCTTATAATTAGATACTGTATGTGTGCTGTATGTATTAAATGTTGTGAAATATATAATAAAAAGTTTGATTATATTCATTTGTGTGGCATTTTTACACTTTAAAGTTTACACATGCAGTTTTTAAATTAAATAGGAAAAATAAATGAACAATATTTCATATTAAGCAATACTGGAAAAGAATTGCTGCTTATCCTGTATTCTAGGCAGTAATGATAAACTGCCACAAAAAAATATTAATACAAGTAGTAAGAACGCCGCCTCGCGGTTGCTGAATGTCGCACGACAACGTTGCTACAGCCTTCTCACGTCTTACATTTCTACGTTGTGACAATGTAGCGAGCACGTAAGCGGCAACGTTGCCTTTGAAAAAATACAACGTTGTGCAGACATCGCTACAACGTAAATGTGTTTGTTGGGTAATCCCTAATACTAACTTCTGTACAGCAGTCCCACGACATTCTGACTCTTGATGACACTGCAGTACCCTGTCAGATAATTCTAGTGGCTGGGAATGGGCTTTTTACAGTGTCTGCTATAATGAATGTTGTCTTTGGTGTGTTTTCATAGATGAATATGGCCACTGTGTAAATGCACAGTACTGTTACGATCTTATTGCCACATTAGATCGTTTTGATAACATAATACATGGCTTCAGTGGTTTCCTGAAGATAAAAAACAAAAAATAGCACCACTGGATTCACCAAATACAACTAGAATCACTACAGTAGGCGCAATCATCTGAACTCATATAAAGCAAGAGATTACGAGGACATGATGATGTGTGCAGGTGATGTATTGCTGTCCCAAGTCTTAGGGGTAAATTTTGAAGCCCTTTCCTTGCTGAAAAATCCAGCTTAAACCAGCCTAGGCTGGTTGGCTGGTTTTAGCTGGTCAAACAGGCTGGTTTTAGAGGGGTTTTGACCACTTCCAGGCTGGTTTCCAGCCATTTCCAGCCTGGTTTTAGCTGGTCAGGCTGGAAAATGACCAGCTAAATCCAGCTAAAACCAGCTTGACCAGCCTTGCCAGGCTGGGAGCCCAGTCAAAACCAGCTATGTCCAGCTTAAACCAGGCTAGTCAAGCTGGTTTTAGCTGGATTTTTTAGCAGGGTTCCCCTTAACCCTCAGAGTTGCAAAGGCTAAGGGGGAGGGGAAGGTGTAGGGGTACAAAAATAGTATTGGATTTGGCCCATAGCCTCTTTACTCTTGTACTTGGAGTGAAAGCAGATCAATAAACTCACTATACAGTTTGACAAATATTGCAGCTGTTGGACAACATAATGTATTTTTGTACATATTGCATCTATGCAACTTATTTATAAGGATAGAGCCTATTTTAAGTATTTATAATTTAGATACAGCACGTTGGCATCCATCTGCCTGTCATTAAGCAGAGAAAAGACAGTTGATGTTGACATTCCACATGATGGTGACAGAGACCACATAATAAGCCCTTGGAGAAAAGATCAGCATTTTTTGAAACTGGTAAGTGACATTCTAAGTCGATCTCTCTCTGTCTCTCTCTCTTTCTCTCTCTCTTGTGTGTTGTAGTGTATTGAGTGTGAGATGGGACACTCAATTATAAGGAATGTATGTATCTTTTGTTGGCCACTCTGTATAAGCCTGAGTTACTTTTTGGTTGGCCATCTCTTTTTTTCTAATGCATCTCTTGTTTTCGTTACTGCAGACTAGTTCGTAAAAAGAAAGAAAGAAGAAATGCCCGCATGTTTTGCGTTTTTCCTTATCGCAAACAGAACAGTAATCTGATAGTATTTGCTTTGCTTTGGCTTATTGGGGTTAATTATTGGTTTCTCCCAATTGTAACAGAAATACTGGGTCTCCAGACTAATGGCATTTCATTCTGTTCAGCCTTATAATCTAAAAATTTGAGCAAAGTCACCTGTTTTTATCACTTTAGACACTTTGCAGGAGAATCATTCAAATACTAGCTTTAAAGTGATGTTGGTGAAGTAGCAACTGTTTCTGCTGTTCTGACGTAAAATGATTTTTAGTCTTTGTGTTTGACTTTTTTGGTTATGCCGTTGAACTGCTGTAAACGCAATATCACACTCGCAGTAGATATGGTTGTACTGGTCTGTATAATTGTCACTGGTGGGACACTGAGGCACTCAGACTGGCCTCATGCTAACTCGCGCCTCCCTCCAGTGCCGACATACAACCATAATGCACTGCTGCTCGTGTGATATTGCACATTTGTGTTAACTTCGTTTGTTTTTTTGTATCTTGTAACATTTGCAAAATTTAAAAATAATGATTAAGAAAAAAAACCCATCATTGCGTGATGATCAATAAACAACCAGCCAACCAAATGTGTGCTGTAGTAGTTTCACTATTCCTGTCACGTTTCACTAGTTTAGCAGCAGTTTTTAAATAGATACTATGGTAATGACAAATGCAGCATGAGCTTAGATTTAGAACAGTTTTTTTTTTAATTGCACCACTCAAAAATGCTAATCATAGCACCAATTAGCGTTACTAAATTCGCTAGTTGCCACTAGTCTTACTTCCACTATTAACTTAAATTAACATGAGATCAGACATTTTAAGTTAAGAACAATTAACATGTAACAGCTTACTTGAACATGTGTTCATTTAAAAATCTGCATGTAACTACAGTTGTTGTTTTAAATTATGCATGGGTGGATCAGCATTTCACAATATTCACTATACTTAATGCATTACCTGTTTGCATTCAGCTGTTTTTTTTTTTTTTTTTTTAGCTGGGTTATGCAAAATGACGTGTGTGTCTGTTCATTACTGAATGGATTAAAGAAGAGAAACTCACAAAGACGAGGTGGACACAGCAGGGCGAGTACAACACTTATTATTTTAATGCTAAATATGTCTTGTTTTACTTCCTTTCCTTTTCCTTCTTCAAATTTCAAATAACAATCCATGAAGCCACTTTGACTTTTGTGTTAGCATGAGTCTCCTTTAACAGTAAATGGTTAAATCATAAATTGTGTGCGTTATTGAAAAGAAATATAAGTGATTGTACTGTGAACAATTGTGAACAACTATCATTTTGTAATAGTAAAAATGAGGGAGACAATCTGCTTTTAAAAACATATGTGGATTTTTTTTTATATTGTTTTGTTGGGCAAAACTGAAAAAATAAAATGTTTTCAAATCATTTGGTTTATAAATTGGTATTAATTTGATTAATTTGAGTATCTGTTTCCTATATTTGTATAATTTCACTATTGGAAAAATCCTCTATGTAAAAGCTTTTAAATTAGAATCAGCCAACATAAGCAGACTGAATTTATCAGGCATGCTTTTTTTCTTTCTTTCTTTGTCTGTTTTGCTCAAATCTATGACAAAAGATTTCTTAGTCTCCAACCATGTGGTATTTACCTTTTATCACATTTCAAGAACTAGTAGTTGGTAGGCTTGAATAACCTTAACTCCAATCTTTACATATTGAAAACCATACATGTTTGTGCATTTAGTATGAGTAGTGAGGTTGCAGTTTCATTATCTGCAAATGAAGATTTGGCTGAATGCCTGTAATGTGTCATGATCTGATCAATCATTGTTTGAATTCACAATCTGTTTTCTTTCGCAGAACTGACAGCATTAAAGACAGCATTATGGACTTAGGCTTTTTCACAGACGAAAAGTTGTTTAATTTTTTTTTGCCAAAACAAGACAAAGATGTCTACATTAGAGAGCCCACTAATGTTCCTCCGCACTCTTAAGGACAATGAACTCATTGAAGATGAACTTTATGTAAGTTGAATATATATATATATAAAATTAAAAACTATTTTTTAGATCATGTATAAATATTAGAAAGAAAAAAGATTTAACCTTAAAGATTTTTTGCTTGTGCTTTTGAAGCAAAAACTGGAGGTCAGCACTAATGATAGTGATTTATATAATGTGTTGGAGAGTATTCAAAAGCGTGGAATGAAGACTGTTAGAAAGTTCTGGAATTGTGTGGACCAAGAGCATATAGTACAGCGCTACCCACAAGTCTCTGAAATCATCTCGGAGCTGATGAAAGGTTACAAATTATCTTTTTTTTTTTATTTCACTTAGCACTTCCTATTCATTTCATAACTGAGATTTCCAATTCCTCAGATCTTGAGAATCCACTAAACCAAAAAATAAGGCCAAGATCTGTAGATAAAAGCACGGGACAGGAAAGAGAGATTAAAAAGATAAAGATAGAGAGCATATCTGAGAGAAATGAAGCTGGGCCATCGTCACAAAGCACTTATTGCCAGAGGAAAATAGCTGAACATGTGGAAAGAGGTGAGTTATATTCACAATTACACCATCAGCTAATTGAGACTACACAGACATTAAAATCCAGTGCTTGAAATTCTTGCACTGCTCTGCTGCACTCTATTAAGCATCACTCCTATTAATACTTTTAAAGTAGTAAAGGAACATGAAACCCCCTATTTAATTACCAAATAAGTCTCATCATAATTTTTCAAATGCTGCATAATGGCTGTGATAAAGTTGGAGAATGAAGACAACTGACTTGAACAATGTCTTTACATATAGTGATTCTTTCAAGTATCAAAGCTTCTTTGAATCGACTTTTGTTGTTGTAATTAAACAATTACAACTAAATTAATATTTATTCTGTCTTGCTTGTTTGAATTAGTGAGCACAGATGCAGTCAGGCATGTCCACATCATTCAGTGCAGTTTATGAACCTAAATGAACGTCAACTAATAAGGATCAGTTTGTTCACAAATAAAAATTGAATATGGTGACAGTTCAAAATAATTATGACTGTTTAAAATTAATTTTTTACAAGTATGGTAAAAAAAAAAAAGAAGTACAAAATTGTGCTTTGGTGTGTAGAATTGTAAAACGTTTACCAAAATGAACACATTCTCATTGCACTTATGTACAGTAACATGGTACAAATACCTCAAGTTTTTCTTCACTGTTTTTTATGGTTTGTTACAGCCTTGCATTGATCTGCTAGTCTATTCTGTTGTCTAAATATATTGGCTGAAATATGTTTATAAAAATGTTTCAGGTCTGCAATGCTCTCCAGACTCCAGGACAGAAGACTCAAGTTTTTTATTATCAAGTATGTAAAGCGGTTTGGTGTTAAGTGTTTGTTTAGACACTTAAATGAACACAAAAAACAATTCCTTTTTCACCCTCCATTTTAAATGTGCTTTTTAGCCTCTTCGGTAAAGCTCTGGGACATGCCTGAACACAAGAAATGGCTTCCTGTCACATGTGGAGAAGAAGAGGCCTTACTGGATAGAGAAGCACTGTTTGACAGTAAGTTACCATCACTGTTTTAATGTTTCAAAGAAGCATCATCCTCTGACACATAATAATCTGCAAAGAACTGTGATGGAATTTTACTTTTTTCTTAAGCAATATACAGTAAACGATATTGTCATGACTAAATGAATATATAATCCATACAGTACGTCCGGAAAGTATTGGTTCTCTCAAGGTTTTTTTTCTTCACTCCCATCAGGTGAAGTTTTTTTTCCCTCTCCGCTGTCGCCACTGCCTCGCATGGTTCAGGATTGGTAGAGCTACGCATTGATGAATTTGCTCTTCAGTGTTTGAACTCTCAGTAATGATTAAATCACACTGAACTGAGCTAAACTGAACTGAACTGAACTTAAACACTAAAACCTGAACCACACTGTTCCAGTTACTATGACCATTTATGTGAAGCTGCTTTGACACAATCTACATTGTAAAAGCGCTATACAAATAAAGCTGAATTGAATTGAATTGAATTATTCATAGCACTTCACTTTTCCCACATTTTTTATGTTACATCCTTATTCCAAAACGGATTAAATTTATTCATTTCCTAAAAATTCCACACACAATATACCATAATGACAATGTTAAAAAAAAAAGTTTTTTTTTTGAAATTGTTGCCTGAAACCTGAAAAATCACATGTACATAAGTATTCACAGCTTTTGCTGTGAAGCTCTAAACTGAGCTCAGGTGCATTCTGTTTCCACTGATCATTCTTGAGATGTTTCAGCAGCTTAACTGGAGGTCATCAGCAACTGGAATAAATTCAGTTGATTGGACAGGATTTGAAAAGGCATACCTGTCTATATAAGGTCCCAGGGTTGACAGTGCATGTCAAAGCACAAACCAAGCATGAAGACAAAGGAATTGTCTGTAGACTTCTGAGACAGGATTGTCTCTAGGCACAAGGCTGGGAAAGGTTACTTTTTCTGCTGCTCTGAAAGTTCCAATAAACACACTAGCCTCCATCATCCGTAAGTGGAAGATGTTTGGAACTATTAGGACTCTTCCTAGAGCTGGATGGCCATTTAAGCTGAGTCATCGAGTGAGAAGGGAGAAAACCAGACACTGCTCATCACCAGGCTAATACCATCCCTACAGTGAAGCATGGTGGTGGCAGCATCATGCTGTGGGGAAGTTATTAGCAGAGGGAACTAGAAGACCAGTCAGGTTAGAGGGAAAGATGAATGCAGCAATGTACAGAGACATCCTGAATGAAAACCTGCTTCAGAGTGCCATGATCTCAGACTGGGGCAACGGTTCATCTTCCAGCAGGGCAATGACCCAAAGCAAACCCCCAAAATATCAATGGATTGGGTTCACAATAACTTGGTGAATGTCCTTGAGTGGCCCAGCCAGAGCCCAGACCTAAATGCTATTGAACATCTCTGGAGAGATCTGAAAATGGCTGTACATCATTGCTTCCCATCCAACCTGATAGAGCTTGAGAGGTACTGCATAGAGGAATGAGCAAAAATTCCCAAAGACAGGTGTGCCAAGCTTGTGGCATCATATACAAAAAGACTGGAGGCTTTAATTGCTGCCAAAGGTGCATCAACAAAGTATTGACCAAAGGCTGTAAATACTTACTGTATGTACATGTGATTTTTAGTTTTTTTTAGTTTTTATAAATTTGCGACAATTTCAAAAACTCTTTTGTCACATTGTCATTATGGGCTATTGTGTGTAGAATTTTGAGGAAATAAATTGTTTTGGAATAAGGCTGTAACATGAAAACGTGGAAAAAGTGAAGCACCATGAATACTTTCCGGATGCACTGTAAGGTTAATGACCTAATGCAGATATTTTTTTAGGGCCTTCTGTTAATATGGTGTGAGGGGTGAAACTCCTGAAGAAGCCCTTGCATAAATCTGTTATCATAAAATGTATACTTTAGCCTTTATAAGCTACTATGAGCGAGTAACTACATCTTTTTGGTAAAAGGCATGCTTCTGTATGTAAACTGATCATTCTCCTTAGAATTAAAGTGAGATAAAGGACAAACTCTGTCTGGTCTTATTCAATTTCAGTTCTCACAGTTATTTACATTTCTTTAGTGGAAAAAAAGGAGTTTCCACGACAGAACATTATTTTAAAAATGATAAATATATCCTGCAATCTTTTATTTTGATAACCAGATAAATATACTTAAAACATAAACAGTGCTTTAAAAAAAAGTTTGAGTAATACATTCTTCAAGAAATGACAAGTAAATATTCAAAACCTGTTAACCTGTGGTGGCAAAGAAATGATGCACATGGGCACATCTTCAGATGATTGGGTGTTTTGGGCCTTTCACAGTTTTTGTATTCCTTAAACTATTTACTGTGTGATTTATACTGTAAAACTGATTCATGTTGTGTACATAATTTACATATTCTTACTGATAAACTATCAAAACTCACCCCTATTCTCAGGAAAGAAGAATTGCATTGAACACAATGGAGAAATGATCACTCCTTTTACATTTGAGGAAAGGGGTGGAAAAGAATCCTGTAAGTCCTGGAAAACAAGTATATTATGCCAAGGGAAAACCGTCAGCAGTCTCATGGAGGTGAGAAGCAGTTGTTGCTAATGTGTGAAGTATTTGAATACTTTTGTCCATATACATAAAGCAAAACACAATTTCTAATTTTGTCTGCGCTTTTCTAACAAGGCATCACTTTATTTTCAGTTGGAAATATTGAAGATGCCGAAACGTAAGGGAAAGTTTACCCTTCGTAATTGATGTACCACGCATTGTTTATTGAGCTCGGAGTGAATCTTTATGACCTGTGAATTTTGGAGACCAAATTTTCTTCCATTTTGAGCTACAGCAGGTCTTCAACACTTGACCTTTTGGATTTGTGCTGACCTCTTTGTAGCCATTACTATTTTTTGCCTTTTCATTTGCCTATTTGTCCTTCAACCAACAGATGTAATTCAAGAACTTAATGTACACTTGCTGCCTGAATTATCGTACTTTCTCTTTTTCCTTCACTTTTGTCAATTGGTGAAGTTTGTCTCTCACCACGGTCACCACTGGCTTGCTTGGTTTGGGATATGTGGAGCTATGTAATGGTGGAGTTACTTTTCAGTCTTGGCTTTGTTTTGGATTTCAGCAGTGATATTTACATTACACTAAACTTCAACTGTGAAAACTGTACTGCAGGAGTTTTAATTTATTAGAACCGCATCTATGTGAAAACTGCTTTCACACAATCTACATTGTAAAAAGCAATATCAAAATAAAGATTATTTTAATTGAATTTGGCATGCTTGTTATGCTGCTGCAAGTGTGTTTGTGTGTGTGTGTGTGTGTGTGTGTGTGTGTGTGTGTGTGTCTGATCAGACTGTACAAATATTACATATTGCTAATGTGACCTTTACATGGATAAAAAAAATGTTCCATTGAATTTGGTCCATGCAGGTTTTTTTTTGGTCAACATTGCAATGATTTTCATTAAACACATCTCGGGAAAGATAGGGACACATTTCCAGTATAACTATAAACATTCAAATGTCCTATAAATGTGTTGTCTCTAAACTATCACAACTTTGATATGTTAAAATATTTATGGTTCACTGTGGTGTGTTGAAAATAAAAATTTATTGAATTAAAAATTAGTTCATGACAATATATGATAAATTTAGAGAAGCAGAGGAATTGTACAGTATTTATTATTATTATTTTTTTTATTTTATTTTTTATTTTTTGCAAAATAACTATAGTTTTAGCTATAAAGAAATGTTAGATTTGTCTGGACATTGCATATGCTTAAACAATGACCTGAGTAAGAAATTACTGTCATTATGATGTGTATGAAATCTGTTGTCATTACATTTCATGTTTTGATAAATCTAAAGTTTAATATGTGTTTACTAAGTTTTTAAAACTTAAAACAGCTCAAATTAATTAAGAGTTTATTTGTTATTGGCTGTGTGCTGAAATGTATAGGGATTAATAGGATGTGTTGGTAATTAAATTACTTTTCATGCAAAGTCATTAGAAATGTAAAGTAATGTAATTGATTAGTAATTTACTACTTTTTCTGCAGTAACATACCCAACATGGGTGACATGGTGGCTCAGTGGTTAGCACTGTCGCCACACTGCAATAAGGTCGCTGGTTCGAGTCCCAACTGGGTCAGTTGGCATTTCTGTATGGAGTTTGCATGTTCTCCCCGTGTTTACGAGGGTTTCCTCCGGGTGCTCTGGTTTCCCCCACAGTCCAAAGACATGCGGTATTGGGGAATTAAATAAACTAAATTGGCCGCAGTGTATGACTGTTAATAACTGTTTATTGATGTTTCCCAGTACTGGGTTGCAGCTGGAAGGACATCCGCTGTGTAAAACATATGCTGGATTAGTTGGTGGTTTATTCCGTCGTGGCGACTTCTGAAATAGAGACTAAGCTAAAGGAAAATGAATTAATCAACAGTTCATATAATATAGTGTATACTATATACTTCTATTGCGCCTCCAGAGGGAGTCATCGCCCAATTCTAGTCGGGTTTCATTTGGACTCAATCCCCCAGAATTCTTCAAACCTGAAACTGATTGCGGTTCCACCTGATTTTAACTCCCAGTCCTATACTTCTCATTTCCCAAAGAATTTTCTGAAGTTCTTTTTTAACCCTGTTATCATTACTGCGCGAGTTTCCTTGTATTTGTCTTCCTGTGTTTTTTTTTTTCTTTCTTTCTTGCATTGTTTATTAGACTGTTTGCTGCAAGCCCTAACTGATATTGTACTTTGATTTTGGATAGCCCTTTACTGACGTGTCTGTCTTTTACCCGTTTATTAAAGACTGCAAATGGATCTCTCGACAAGTTCTGAGTCATCATTACAACTGAAGTCTTTTGACACAATCTATTATATTACAATTACATTGCATTACAATGTATTGAACACACGTCTAACACTTACTGCCTATCTTCACTCTTATCAAAATTATATCTGTGGCACTAGCTTAACTAAGGTCTGTAGACTGTAGAAATGAATTGTAAACTGGGACTGTCGTACGTTATCTGTGACAGCAATTTAACTGTAATATCACGTTGAGGTATGGAACGCATAATTTTTTTCTAATGTCAATTTCTAGAAAAGAAGTATAACATGTCAAGGTATAATAAGGGTAGATGTGAGAATATAATGTTTATTTTAAAATGTGTTTTATTTAAATCTAAAAATAAATTAATAAATTAACAATTACCTGGACAAGGCTATTATATTCTTCTTTTTTTTGTGAATATTTTCTCATCTTTTGTTTTTGTAATTTTACTTTCACTCAACCATGCAAACCAGGAAGCAGCTTCAGATGTGTGTGATGTGTTCAATAGTGAGAAACTCATCCACTTCCCGCTCTTCAAAAAATGCAGATAATACAGCGGCCTCATTCATGAAATGACTCTTCAGCCCTTTCTGGAATCTGCTCGACTCCGTGAGAACAGCAGAAACAACAATCACAACCAACCGGGTGAAGAAGGATGAAGAAAAAAAGCTGCAAGAAATCACGCCAGATCAGGTCGTCCTCCATCTGCAGCTCCAAGAGAAAGAAACAAGCTAAAAGCAAAAACTGCCTCCGTGAGTTTGAAGCATTTTTACACAAAAATAAGGCAAACCAGTACTGAATCAAGTAAGAAATGTTCGTTTGGTGTGATTTTGGGAAGTCTCCTCAATCTAACTGATATGGTTCGACATATTTCAGAATCGTCTTCAAGTCAATCCCGACTTCCTGTTACGTGTGGATATAAAGAGGGGTTACTGGATTTGAAGAAATATTATAAAAGTAGGTGCATAAACATTTCTAGGTATAGGAAACTTAAAGACTTTAGAAATATAAAGGGCTACAGTGCATGTTGTCGAAGTGATTTTGTCTCAAGATCAAAATTCTGTCCTTAGGGCAAAAGTGCATCTTAAGTGAAGACCGCTGGTTTACGCCCACTGAGTTTGAGAGGTTTGGGAGAAAGGAGAAAAACAAAAAGTGGAGGACCAGCATCCTTTGCAAAGGGATTACACTCCAGAAACTCATAGAGGTGCAAAAGTCCGGTTTTAATATACTTTTAGTACATAAGAAACACACTAAAGTGCATTTTAAAAAGTGCATGTTCATTTGGAAACAATATTTTTATGACACTTTTTTTTATTTCTTTGTCTTTCCTAATTTGAGTTTTCTCTCTACAGGATGGATTTCTTTTACCTAAAACCTTTATGAAAGGCAGGATTCATGGTGAAAAGGTTTGGCTATTGTTTTGGCTGCATTTGAGTGTTTTTCTAGTTATGAAGTTTAAGATTGTCTAAGATGTTTTTCAAACATTTTCCTTTTGTGTTCTGCAGCAGAAGAAAAGGCCAGAGGTTTTGCAGCAGCAGGGTGCGTAGATTAAAACCAAAAATATTTGTTTAAATAAAATCCTAACCTTACATGATTGTCACGTTAGCTTCCAGGGGTGTAACGGATCACAGTTTATCCGTATGGATCACAATTCACGGTTCTGAATGCACATGACCCATGGATTAATAACTATTTTGAACTTGTACGTTAAGCCAACATTTATAACAAATGCAGAGAGATTGCCTCCCGTGTCATTCAAATCATGTGAATGCATTTCGGCTTCCCTGTAAATAATGATGACGGAAAAAAGTTGTGGGACATACCTAAACGCTTTTTTAGGTTATTAATTAAAAGTGTTTTCTGTTAGAGTTTGTTTAGCCTACATTTATGCATTCAGTGTAAAGCTGCACATATAAGCATTAAAATATCGTGATCTATATTCAAACCTGCAAAACATGAATGATAAATGATAATGATTTGCATGTTTATTAATCCTTTGAAGCACTGCATTCAAATCCACGTTTCATCGAGAGAAATTCAGTTTTTACACTTTTTCAGTTAGTTACAAACAATTAAATAACACAGAAGAAATGGGAGAACAGTTTATAGTTCAGCTATAAACCCTGATGTTCATGGTAAAGATTAAAATCTCAGTTTAATTGAACATGACGTTGGCGAAAACAATTACATTATGTAACCAACAACCATCAAAATTATGTCACTGAATGGGTTTTCATAAGTGATCCACCTACAATGAAACATTAAGTTTTATCTGTGAATTGTTGAATGATTAAATAAAAATAAATATGATATGTTGTACAAGTTGTTAGACTTTTATATTTAGCACTGTCAGCAACAGTGACCAAGATCATATTCTCTATTGAATACTTTTCTTTTTTCAGCTGATTCTTTCTTAATGTTTATTTTTTATTAAAATTACAGGTTCTAAGTTCTCTTCGTTAAAACCAATGGGCTTTGCAGTAATATTTTTGTATAAATGAAAAGCAAATATTTGTCTCCTCTTTTTTTGCTCATTCGAAAAATGGTCCGATCTGTGACTCAAAAATAATAGTGTGATCCGAACCGTGAGATTTGTTATCCATTACACCATTATTAGCTTCACATATTGAAATGTCAAAGAATGTGCTCACGTTGCTTTTCCTCCCCACATAAATGATACAAAAATGTTTGTATGTCATGTTTGTTCCGAGATATTCCATAATGCTAATGTGTGTTTATTTTCTGTAAATCTATTGTCATCCTTTAGATTAAAGGGATAGTTTACGCAAACCCTTTATTGTGTTACAAACCTGTTTGAGTTTCTTTTTTTTATTGAACACTAAAGATATTTTAAAGATGGCTGGAAACCTGGAACCATTGACTTTCATAGTATTTGTTTTTCCTACTGTGGAGATCAGTGGTCACCAGTTTTTAGCTTTTTACAAAATATCTTCTTCAGAAAAAAGAAACTTATAAAGGTCTTGGACTTGAGGAAGAGTAAATAATGAGTAATTTTTTAATTATGGCGACTATTATATTTTGTTCTTGTTTTTAAGTAGTGTTAGAATCAGCTGAGAAGAGTAATGGCAGTCAAGGAGAGGATGACGATGATATTGACATGACCAAGTTCGAAGGTGCGACATTACCTGTGGCCTGCGGTTCAAACTCTGGTGTCCTACACAAGTGCCGCTTTGCTGGAGGTGCGTAAGTGAGAATGGGAACTTTTGCTGGAGGAGTGCTTTTATAATAATTAGTATGAAATATGATTATGTTGTCTTTGCTTGACGTTACATAAACATGAACTGTTTTCCCTCATACATTTTCACTCAGTTTTGCCTTTATCTCAGAGCGTTGTGGGAGATGCATAAGAACAGAGAACTCCTGGTTGACGCCTGAGGGTTTCATCAAATTGAACAAGCCAGATGGAATATGGAGGAAAGACATTGTTTCCAATGGAGTTCCTCTCGGAAGACTTATAAAGGTAAAACAAGCAAAAAAAAATGAGTCAGTAATATTAAACTTAGACAATATTTACATAATTTAAATAACCATAGAGCAACTGTCAATGATCTGTCAATGAATCCATTTTTTATTATACAAACTTTTAGTATTAGCTGTGCAGGTTAAAATCAAATTATTCATGCATGTGCTGTGTTTATATGGCCACTTTCAGGTTTAATATTCCTATATTCACTGTAAAAAAATGGTGGGAAAACATAAAGGAATTAAGTTAACTTATTAGTTTTTGCAAATTTAAGTGGATTGAACATAAAACAATTAAGTTGTCCCATAAACAATCAAGAATTGTGTTGTTTCAGCTCATTTCAAATAAGTTGTTTGCACAAACAGCAACCAATTTGTATTGAGTGTTCTATAAGTTGGCATTTCAACAATACATCCCACATGAAAAAATACTATAGAAACTTATATTGAATACTATAGTGTTTTTGAACTATTCTATAGTAGTAAAGTAGTACTTTAATTTGTTTTTGGTAATTCTATAGTTGCTTCGGTAATACAACAAGTGTAGTAATATAAACACATTAGCCAAAACTGTATGTTTTTTTTAGCTTAATGTACTTCAATACAATTGTTTACTGTAGTAAATGTAAAGTACACTACAGCATTTATTATCAGCTTAGTAAGCCATCTTTAACAAAGTGTTGTAAATAATATATACAGTATTATACACTACACTATAGTGTGGTTCAAAAACTCTAGTAATTACTACTATTATTTTATCTTGTGGTACGAGACAGGCAGTGAATTTCGATGGCCATAAAATAGCAATGTTTTGTTTTCATATTTGTTTTGTGTGTAATACCAGCAGATGCTAAATTGAATGTTTAAACACACATTGGGCATAATGGCTCATTTCATAACTGTGAACTGCGTGTATATATTAAATAACAAATAAGCTAGTTATAAATTAAGTCAGATGAAGAAGAACCGGAGTCAGATATTCAAATAAATAGATAAAGTTTACTGAGGATAGCTTCCAGTTTTATCAGCAGAAGCCAGTTTTAACACTCGCAATGAGTGCCTAGGCCGCTCTGCTTACAATCAAAAATCAATAACAATTATACTCTCAAGACCAGAAAGGGTGCGATTTAGGTGACAGGTTCCGATTGGTTCAAACAAAGATAGATAGTTCTAAATATGTACGTTAATGCGGGGTCGTATCTGAATCCAGATAGGGATGCCGACTAGAGGCCTGGTTCAAGTCGCCCGTAGACAATGAAGAGCTGGTCTCAGACCTGTAGAACTCGCCCTTCAGATGCATATACGCATGCAAGAGACACAATCTGTTATAAAAACCCAAGGTTGTTTCTTGGTACTCTCAGCTGTCTTATCAAACTAGTTCAAAACTGGTATGAACAGCATTCAGACTGCTATATTCTTACTACACAAAGTCTATCTTAAATTAAAAAAATCACTTTTTAAACTGAATATACACATAATTACAATAATATCAAGATCACTTTAGACAGTATTAACACATTTATACAAAGAGGAAAACAGTTGTTATTTATCATCCAGCCCTTCAGATCCACTTGAGCTCTCCATGACCTCTGACCTAATTTGGTGACTCCTGAAAATAGAGTTACAATCTCTATTTTTTCTCTATTGAGAGACAGGCAAACTCACTGAACATTCTTACATTAAGCAATGTGTTAACTTTACTCATTCTTTAAATAATCATTAATAAAGTAATGAGAAAAAGGATAAATATTGATCAATGCTGGGACGAATTGGAAGGCAGGAATCCGAATCCATCAAAGTATTTTCATAAATAGTATTTTATAGTTTGGTTTATTTTTCTAATTGGGAATTCATATTGTGTGTAGATAATGCCTTCACTTGTAAAGACTGTCAAGACAGATTAATTTGTTGCTCATTTATTTTAATTAAACAATATTATGGGGATACTGCTTACCAGTGCAGTTTTTCTCTTTCCTGCTCTTACTTACAAATGTGTGAATAAATGTGTAAGAAATAAAGACATATTAACTGTCATTTTAATGTGATCGTTTGATTTCTCGTTGTTGTTTTTTTCATCTGAACACATTTAACTCTGTCATAACTGCAATATTTAATCTCCTCATTAACATTTATAGCATATTTGACTGTATGGGCTGCTTCTTGCTATACTTCGTGACAAAAAAAGAATATTGAATATTGTTCTCTAGTCATGATGGAACTTGCAGGCAAATCGTATTAAATTGTACGAATGACATTGTATGAATTAACCACTAAATCAAAAAATTACGAATTGCTGTGAGGTTGTGTTGCAGCGTACACAATTTAAATAGCATGAAGAGCAAAGAATGCACTCAAAAACGTAATTTAATCATAGCACCCATTATGAATAACTAACTGAAATAAACGTATTATGTGTTTTATGAACATATGTTTGTAGATCAAACATGATTTTAACATGTTCCTCTAATTTCTTTGCAACTTATTATTAGATCAAAGATGTACTGTAGCTAGATGCACTCACATACATTGCGTTAGAAGTCACCATTGTGGTGATCTGTGTTTGCTTTACATGGGATTTTTTACCCTTTATTTATCATGTTTTTCTCTGGCTGTGATAATTGCGTCACTGGTATATTCTGCAATGAATAGGTGTTTTTAAATGAATTGTTATTCAATGAGAATGTTGTAATGTTCGGTTTTATTTCACTTGAATGTAGGGGAGCATGGGGCACAAAGTAACACAGGGTAAAATGTAACACAGAGTTTGAAGGTATTTGCTTGGTTAACCATGGCATGCTTCCGAGGTTTTCAACACAGTGTCGGCAGATGTCTTCCTGCCATTTATTGAAAAACTTTGGCGAAATTTGGATGAAAATCACAGGAGAAACCTTTTTTGCAGCATAAAAGTGTTTTTATTATACTCAATATTTTTTCTATTTAAAAGAAATCTGTGAAAGTATGTGTGCAAAACCTTATATTGTTGTGATTACTGTCTTCTAGGTTAAAAGATAAAACATTTTGAAAGATGTAAAAAACAGTTACTGCTAGCCAGTTTTAGGGAGAACATGACACCCCGGGGTTAGTTGTAACAGGGTGTTACAATTAAGCCACACATTATTAGACGCCAGTTAAACTAACAAAACAATTCTTGAATTTTGAGTGTGATGTTGGAAACTTTTTATATAAAAATGTTTTTAAATGGATTTAAAAAAAATATATTATTAATGCAAATAAATGCATTGTATTATAATGGATAGTAATGCAAATAAATCCAAATGTGTTTATCCAGTAAATAAGTAAACATACTGTGCTATGAAGAATAAAAAAATAATTAAGTTGAGTACTGAAATTTAGCTACTATTTAAAGTAAACTGAATTTAAATTAATTGTGTGGAATCTGTTACAACTAACCCTCTGTCTGTTACAACATAACAGGCACAGAAACAATAAGTCAGGCGATCATACTTTCAGTGCTCATTTGTAGGAGAGGCTTGTGTGTTACTGGTAAAAAAAAAAAATAGGGTTTGTCTAACCTAGGGGTGTCCAACCTCAGTCCTGGAGGGCCGGTGTCCTGCAGATTTTAGCTCCAACTTACTTCAACACACTTGCAGGGATGTTTCTAGAAAGCCTAATAAGAGCTTGATTGCTAACTCAGGTGTGTCTGATTGGGGTTGGAACTAAACTTTGCAGGACACCGGCCCTCCAGGACCAAGTTTGGACACCCCTGGTCTAACCCCATTACTTTGTTCATTATTTGACCACAACCAAAAAGTGTTACTTTGTGCCTCGCTCTCCACTATTGCCACTATTGATCTTTAAACATTCTTATTGTTTATTCAATCCTATTCAGTTTATTCAGTTTGTCGCCACCTGTTAGTGTAATGACGTAATCTGCCATTGAAAATCAAAAGTCATTGAAAATTCTAGAGTGATTTTACTGTCTAAACAACATGTTTTTGCATACTTTCAGAAAAAGGTTTTGGAACTACATACAATCAACTGTGACTGTGAGATCTGCCAAGAACTGGATCAGCACCTCGTAAGACATCTCAGCTCGCTGATATTGTAATGTTTTCTTAAATGTGCTATTTTATTTCATTATGAACTCTTTTCTCTACAGAATGATGATGTGTGTTTTGTGTGCAACTCTGAGGGAAATCTGGTGTGTTGTGATGAATGTCCACGAGCGTTTCATCACCACTGTCACCTACCAGCTGTGCCTGAAGATTCATCTGGGTAGGAGAGAGAAAACCTGCTGCTTTAGAAAAGCTAGATTGATTTGACTGTTTGTTTAATATCGTATGCTTTTGTGTGTAAAAGCAAGTGGAGCTGCATAATTTGTGTGCTGAAGAATATGAAAGGTTCCAGTCAAAAGAACCAACAGGATATTATGAGCAGTCCAGTTTCTCAGTACACACAGGTACAATTGATGCAAAACTTACTATGGAAGTCAAAGTGGTCCAAATCAGATTTATGCATTTAAATTCCACTCAAGAAGCATTTCTTAAACCCTTATTACAGTATATTTGATTGTCTTTGTGTTTTGTCCTGCAGCACTGCCAGTGTCTGCTGTTACACCTGCTGCGTGAGTGCATGACTGACCCCTGCACCAATGTAAATGTCTCTGTGCTGTTTTACATCATTTAAAGCTCATATTTGTGTTGAACATGCATGTAACGTCTGCACTGCGGGTCTGCAGATTCCCGGAGGCAGTGAGAACATTTGTGGTCCCATGATGCTGGGCAGAGTCAAACAGAATTTGGAGAATAATAATTGTCCGACGGTGCAAGTGTTTGTCTCAGATATTGAATATGTCTTCCACCACTGCACCTCCAAAAGGGTGAGTTTTGCTCAGATTTGCAAATAAAACTAATCAGATTGCATGTCTTAATTCCATAATTCCTTAATTCCATTTCTCTCTTCTGTAGGATAATGACTTCAGCAGAATGATGTCTAGACTCATGGAGCTGCTTGAAACCATCTTTAAACCTTAACGTTTGTGTGTTTTGTACAGAAATTACAGGGGGAATAAAGAGCAATATGTATGCATCATATATTTTAATTGCTGTTCATCAAACTCGAAATTTAAAAACTTAAGAAAAAAAATATATATTTTAAAATAATATTTAATTTTATAAATTTTTGTAATATATTTTAGACATTTTTTTGTCAAGAACAATGTTATGATTTTAGTGTTTGCATTATGACAAAACTGAGTTTGGAATAGTATTTATCACCACCACCATCATTATCATCATCATATTCTTCTCTTATAATTAAGATTATTTTACTTTAAGTTACAATTTAGACAATACAGCTTTGTATCTTAAAGACTGTAAAATATTTTAATGTTGTTTCTGCTGTTGCAATATGGCAAAAGAAATAACATACTGTGTTTCCAGACCATTTATAATCTTCTTTGTATTCTTTTAGATTATGATACATATTTGTATTTAATAAAAACATTTGTAATATGAATATTCTTTGGATAAACAGTACAGTACTAATTAAATAATCATATAGAGAAATAAACAACCCTCCATTACAGTTTCTAAAAACAATACATGTCAAAATTGATTGACTTCAAGCTGTTAAAATAATGCAGATCCTTTATCATCATACTTTATGAATTACAATCACTCTCAATTGCTAATGATTTTGTTTTCTCGGCAGTTTGTTTGTTCCAGCAGATCTCTCTTGATTTGAAATAAAAGCAGTTTGGTTTTACCAACCCACCATGTAATGTCAGTGCTGTAAAACGTGAGGATGTATCTACATACATCCTGTCAGCAGCTGAAAAAAGTAAACAACGTTGGTTCATGGTTTCATTTCACTTACGTAGTCTACTGTAGGTTTCATTTTTCCCTCAGCGTCTTTGTGAGGCAACTAGGCTAAGTTTCGTTTTTCCTCAGGATATCATCGGACGGTATGCGTTTGTTGTTATCAATTGTCTTTTTAGTTTACGATGCTTGTAATGATATTGTCAAAGAATGCTTCTTTTATATATATGTGATGAATTTTTAACCGGTGCAGGGCTAAGATTTACATTCAAACTTAACGCATAATATTTGCATAACTGACGCGTTTTGATTTGAAATCACAGTCCATCTTTTGTAGCCTACAAGCTAACAGCACAGCTCATAGCAAATACAAAACAAATATACTAAATATACAAATATATAATTTATTTATTATTCAAAATGATACACACTTTAAGAACTGTAGCCTATAGTAAACCATGGTTTTATTGTGTTAAATTGTTTTAACGCATTAATCACCATTTGTGTACAAATTTTTTTATAATTCGTTTATTTACTTGGACATAACAATTTTAAAGCCATGCACTGTAAGTATTTAAAATTTATTAAAGTGAAGATATGTATGAAATTATATGTTTTACATGTTTATTCATACGTTAACTATTTTCTTTATGGCCAGCGTCAGGCAATCAGTGTAAATGCTGTCTGTTTTGCATCAGTATGGATTATTATAATTATGACCAGGGATGTCAAATTAATCTCAGCCCATCCCTTTGCTGAATGTGACCATGTGATAACACATTCATGCTAAGATTATCACAGTGAATGTGTTGTTTTGTTATTTGAGTTATTTTTTATACCCAATTAGAGGAAAGCTTGGTTTACTACCCTAATTGTGTTTTGTTGTTTTATCTTTGCAGCAGCCATTTAGATTGCATTTTTCTAATGCAGATTTTACAGAACTCTACAGAAAAGATGTTCAAGTGTTTAGATATTTTAAAATCAGCACCTATTTTAAAAATGAACTGACGGTGGGTTACAAACCACCTGTATAGTTTACAGTTTTGTTGTTGTTTTTGTTGTCTGAAGAGTGCACTATAATCTTTATTTACACAATGTACTTCTTGAGCCCAAATAAATAGCTCAATTATGCTGGAAAATCATGATTTGTTGCATTTATTACTTGTTTTTTTTAGGTAACTGGTTGCAAGCAATTTATTTGGGCTGAAAAAACAAACAAACAAAAAATCTAATTTGTTTGTTTAAATTCAGCCTATATAAATTCAGTAAATAATGAGTTTGCGTGTGCGTGCGTGCGTGTGAACTATACTATAAGATTCTGCCTATTATTTTACAATTTTATGTGTAATTGTTTGCAATGTGTGCGTAAGAACAAAAAAATATTGTTTCATGACTATTTTCATATTTAATTATGGAATAATTTTGGTTCAATGTGGTACTTATTTCTTGTACATTACGTCAGCATCCATTTTTAAGCATAATCAAGTCCATCTACTCTTTGTAGATCACTGGGGTTGAGAACTGTTACAATATTAAGTTAACAGTTTAAGAAAGCCAAAGCACCAGGTCTGCTGTACTTAATACATAAGGCCTTAAATATTTTGGGTGTTTTTTTAAATTATTATTTGTTTGCTCTGCGGATGCACGACGGTTAGAACTGTTGCCTCACAGCAAGAAGGTTGCTAATTTGAGTCCCGGCTGGGTCAGTATGCATTTCTGTGTTCAATTTGCATGTTCTTTCCGTGCTGGCGTGGGTTTCCTCTGAGTGCTCCGCTTTCCCCCACAAGTCCAAACACATGTGCTATAGGGGAATTAAATTGGCTGTTGTTTATGTGTGTGAATGTAAGAGGGTAAAGGTGTTTCCCAATGCTGGGTTGCAGCTGGAAGGGCATTCGCTGTGTAAAACATATGCTGGATAAGTTGGTGGTTCATTCCGCTGACCCCTGATGAATAAAGGGACTAAGCTGAAGGAAATTGAATGAATGAATGTTTGCTCTGCTAGACATACTTAATATTGCCAGAAGAGGTCAGCATAGCATGCAAATTATTTGTAAACCGAATAGGTTGACTAGTTGAATTACAAGACTTAAGAATATGCTAGTTTAATTGTTTTAAATCATCTTGAGACTGTTGTAAAAGCACTAGCACATAATTGTAAGTGGGGTTTAAGTAAACTTGTGTACTAAAATAGGCTATGTTAAATGTTACGTTTAACAATACATTTGTGTGCAGGTCTAAATCTTGTGGAACACATCAGAGAGAGCGAGCGAGAGAGAAAGAGAACCCGCCAGAGGTTGGAGAAATGCATGGCTTGTTTTTTCCTCTCCTTGCTAATATGTGGGTGTGGTGAGGGTAAACACTTTGATTGAAGTGAAACTACATGATTTCATGGGAATATTCGATGCTGTAAGGCAAAGAAACGTGTACATTTTATCATAATATCCAGTTAATAGCCTAATGGTTTGAACACATTATTGATTTTAAGCCTTATGTCTACAAACATTTGTTAAAATGTGTCTTGATTTAAAATGAACCTGCAGCCCTACATTGAAAAACTGTTTTTTGTGGTTGAGAGTTAAGATGCTCACTGGCTTGAGGAGCCTACTTTTGTTTTACTACTAATGTAATGTAAACCGTTTCCCCCCTGCAAAATAGAAAGGAAAAGCAGGGTTTCTAGATTTGCAACGATCAACAATGCAAGCTAAACAATTTTCATAATATTTTGTGAACTCTACTGAAGTACTAAAATGCTGAATCATCACAGGTTTGTCCTTTATTATTAGGCCTACTGCAAATGATTAAAGCTAATTTTATTTTATATATAGTAAGCCTGCAATGCAGCAAAATGCAGAGGGTTTTTATTTTTTACACCATCCGGGGTGCGGAATCAAATTCCATTTAAACAAAACTCCTCCAGCAGTTCATACTCACATCCAATATCTCTCATTTGTCATGGGAACTTGCATGAAATTTCATTCCTGAATGAAAGTGAAAGTGCCAAACTGCAGTTAAAGTCGACAAATTAAATATGTAACACCCAAAATACATGAAACCCTGGTGGAAATGTGGTAAACGTATGTTAATGTGTACAATTATGTTTAGGATTGCTAAACTCTTATGGAAATACTGAATCACTAAATAAAAGATTTACCCGTATCAGTATGACTAAACTTGTAAAGCAGTTTTGCATTTATATGTTCTCTCATAGTCAATGTCAAGGTGTTGAGGAAACTGGATTTGGGCACTGAGAAGAGTAATATTTGACATCATGGGTAAGCAAACAAACCCACTGTCAAAATCGATGACTATTAACCACATGCAAAATGTTTGTGACCAAAAGACCAAGGAATTGTTCACACTATAGTTTCTACATTTTTTACTTCTGCAGAAAGTGAAATATATTTTAGTTTGGCTAAAATAAAAAGGTTTTAATTATTATTATTTTTTTTTTAAGTTTTAAGGACGATATTATTAGCCTTTAATTTTTTTTTTCTTCGATTGACTACAGAACAAAACACTGTTATCTAATAACTTGTCTAATTAACCTAGTTAAGCCTTTAAATTGACTTTAAGCTGAATACTGGCATTTTGCAAAATAACCAGTAAAATATGATGTACTGTTATCATGCAAAAAAAAAATTATTAGGTATAAGAAATTTGTTATTAAAACTATTGTTTAAGAATTCGTTGCAAAAATATTCTCACCTTTAAGCAACACTTGGGAAATTATATTCTTAAAATTATATATTTAACTGTATGTCATCCTTCTGTTTGTCTCTCCATCTACTTTACAATAATGTAATGGAAGTACAATGACACAATTATTCATTATTTAATTCATATACGTATATTATTTTTATTCCCTATTATCTCCATCTTAAAAGGGATAGTTCACGCAAAAATTAAAATTCTGTAAATACTTTACTTGAGTATGTTTAAATTTATGGGTCAACTATTTCTTTAACTCTGAAAAATAAACTGATTCTGTTAGCCAATGTACAACCAAATTGACTTTTTTGGGCATATTTTGTAATTTGTGATTCTGAATAGAAAATACAAGTGTTCAAAATATAATTTAAGTGGCGCTTCTGCTACACATACAAGTCTCACTGTATTACTGTATATGAAATGTTTTTTTATGTACATTTGAAGACTGGAATGCTATGATTCATATTGTTTGTTTGTTTTTACATTCATTACCTCATAGGTAATAGTGTGCCTTGGCTGTCAAACAAGTCTAATGAAGGAGAAGATGGTAACACTTGTACGCAGGAACTGGGACAAAGGAAAAGGAAGAGTAGTGAGTCATGCCAAGAGAGTAAGTACAGTTAAACATGTTTGCTGTTGATAAGTTTTCTGTGTGATAACAAATATTATTAAATAGCTGCACATTGTGGAAATACACTTTGTGGAAATATTGAATAAAGTACACTTTAACGACAAATCACTGATTTATTTCTAGCAAAAAGCAAAAAACCAAGAGAAGATACACCATCGTCAAGTAAGTGCAACTAAGCAAAATTATTGTACTTTAAAATATTAATGTGGCTATGTTTGTAATTTATAGTTTGCTAAATGTGTTAAGCTACTGTATGTGTTATGATTTTTTTTAATACAGGTGCATTCCAAATTGCATACTTATGCATTATTCTATGCCATTTTGTTGTATTGTAAGTAGTGCATTCACACAGGAAATTCTAAAAAAAAAATTAAGTGCACTTTAAATACCTGGATGTTGCACGTATTTAACCGGTAAAATGAAGTGTGGAATGTTGGCCATTATTAATTTGGTCATTTATTTCACTAATTTGGCAACTGGCAAACATTATCAGGAAAATGGTTTGAATTTCCACTTAGTAAAAAAAAAAGTTTTCATTTGAGACTAAACTTCATACATATACTATACTGTTGAGTGTGTAAGTGCATAGTGTAAAGTGTGTTATTTGGGACGCAGGTTATGTTTTTAGAAAAAGTCTTTTATTTCTTTCCCTGTTTTGCTATCAATTATAGGCACTGATTATCAATTGGACCAAGAAACGAATGAGGTAATTTTAACACACACAATTGAATTTGAAGTAGAAGTGCTGTGTAGTATACCTTTCCTCTTTTGTGACAATATTTGAGTCTTTAAATTGTCACAAAACCCCCTCTTTTGGTTCAAGTCACCCTCAAGTATACAAGTATACTTGGTTTATTAATTTCGCTTTGATCACAAGACAACTGTTAAGCTCACAATTCTAAAGAACTGTAAACTATTAAAAAAGAATAAATTTATTTATATATATATATTTAAATTTTATTTATTTTTTTTACTAATTCAGCAGGATAAAGACATTCAATCGGGATCAAGAAATCAACCAGATCAACATGAAGACATGGGCAACATCAAACAGAAAAATATCACGCTGCTCCTCAGTAGACTTAATCTCAGGAGTGAACTAAAAGTACAAGATTTCCTGCAGTTAACATCATTGTCGTTGCAGTGGCATGAGCCTTGTGAGGAGAAGAACTTAGTTCAAACCTTCATACAGAGACTTGTGATGATGGACTACAGAGCAAGATACATTGCAATAAAAGAAGAACCGTGTGAGGTGCTCAACACACAAAGGACAACAAGTTTTGATATAAAAGAAAGCAATGCTTTTGAAAAAATTTTTAATAGATCTGCACTCGTTGATGAACCAATGAGGACGCAGCCAATCCACCCAATGGACATTCAGATGGCTGTGTTTCTCAATGCGGACAATTTCCTTCGGCAGCTCATAGTAACAAAACTCTCACAGTGTCAGTATGCTCTTCCTCTGCTTGTGCCTAATCCGTTCACCCAGGAGATTGAATTTCCCCTGTGGACCTTTCGGCAAATCAAGAAGAGCTGGAAGTCACACAATACCAACATCAGCAAATCCAAGACAATCTGCCAGATTGAGACTCCTTTGGTTGTCTTTTTTAGGCTTTCATCAGTTTTCACATCGAAATCTGAATTAGTGAGCAACCTGATCAATGAACGCCATGAAAGTTTCTTTCACAGACACTGCCGTGGAAGCAGCAAGTCCCGTCTGCTGATGGATGGAGTGGTTGAGATTGCCTGGTACTGCCCTTCTGGAGAGAAAACCGATAAATTCACAGACTGCGTAGCCTTCTGTAATCTTCATGGTGATGCACAGGCAAACAAGACACAGCTACAAATTCTGACTGAAGAGTCCTCGGTTAATGTCATGCTTTTGCCAAATCTGGATAGGGCTGACAAAAGTATGGCAATAGTGGAAGAGCTCTACAAGAGCCCAAAACCTCTCATTTGCCTTCTGACTGAAGATGACTCCAGTATTACAGAGATGCAAAAAGGAAAATATAAAATTGGTTTAAAAGACCGAAATAAGTCTGATGTGTCTGAAGAAATCAGAAGAACCATCAACGAGAGTCTCCTAAATACAACATCTACTTTTAAACTCGACAACTTAGTCAGGCACTCTGCAATTAAAGTGGATGAAAATCATGATGAGTGCAGGTATGGGCATACTGAGGCAAAAAAGATGATGAGAGTACTGGAGAGAAAGGAACTGCCCAAAATTAAAGAAACGTTTCTTCCTTGTCAGGGAAAACTGTGGCATGAGTGGTGTCTCAAGAACAAAGAACTACATCGACCTAAAGGGAGCAACATTGAAACACATACTAGCCAAAAACAAACAGAAATGCAACAGATTAGACAGAAGCAGAAAGCTTATGGCATCAGTGCGTTTATGAAGATGTTTACTGAAAAACTAAAGTCTAGAAATACTAAGGAGAAGATGTATTTCCTTAAGTGGCTTGGCATCCTTCTGGATGAGTTCACTTCAGAAGATCTCTGCAAGCTCCATCACGAGTATGATGAAACATGGTCAAAAGTGCTGGATTTGAAAAAGAAACACTATAAAACTGAGCAAATGACAGTACAGCAGACACAACTGGAGAACTTGTCTGAAAACCTGAATGCTGCAACATTTGGTTTGGAGCACATACTAAGAGAGATTGGCCAAATTTATGAATCAGGCATTTCAGTGAAGAAAAATAAAGGATCTGGATGTGAGCTGGATATAAGGTCTTTACCACATTTTGCTGCAGAGCTCATGGTCTCTGGATACCCAATGGAGCTGATGGACGGCGATGCAGCTCATGTTCCTCTGATTTGGGTTCAAGCTGTTTTAGATAAACTTATCAAGCTTCTGGGAGACCAGAGGGTCTTTGTGTTGTCAGTTTTGGGGATTCAGAGCACTGGGAAATCCACCATGCTGAACGCCATGTTTGGACTGCAGTTTGCAGTCAGTGCTGGAAGGTGCACAAGAGGAGCCTTCATGCAGCTGGTCAAGGTTTCTGAAGAACTGAAAAGCCAGTTAAACTTTGACTACATTCTTGTTGTTGATACCGAGGGCCTTCGAGCTCTAGAACTGGCTGGCAGATCAACTAGACATCATGACAATGAAATGGCCACGTTTGTAGTCGGGCTTGGAAATATGACTCTGATCAATATCTTTGGTGAGAATCCAGCTGAGATGCAGGATATCCTTCAGATTGTTGTTCAGGCCTTCTTGAGGATGAAGAAGGTACGACTGAATCCCAGCTGCATGTTCGTGCATCAGAATGTTGGAGACATCACAGCTGGTGACAAGAACATGGTAGGGAAAAGGCGCTTACAGGAGAAACTAGATGAGATGACCCAACTGGCTGCTAAAGAAGAAGTGTGTGATGCAGAATGCTTTGGCGATGTCATTAAATTTGACATCAAAACTGATGTAAGGTATTTTGCCCAGCTCTGGGAGGGAAGCCCACCAATGGCACCACCCAATCCCTGTTATAGTGAAAATGTGCAGGAGCTTAAGAGCAAAATTCTCTTGCATGCTTCAAAATGCAGTGGTGTGACACTAACACAGTTCAAAAATAGAATTGGAGACCTCTGGAATGCTCTTCTGAATGAAAACTTTGTTTTCAGCTTTAAGAATACTTTAGAAATTGCGGTATACAGGAAATTGGAGGAGGAATATGCCAAGTGGACGTGGACTCTCAGAAGTGCCATGCTGGAGGTTGAAGATAACCTACACAACAGAATCAACAACAGGCAACTGCATAAAGTTGAAATTAAAAACTTGGAAAAGAAGATATCGGAGACCTATGAAGAGGTGAAAGTTTCAATAAATCAATACTTTGAAAAACATAAAGAAAAGGAGATGCTGATTCAGTGGAAATCAAAGTTTCAAGAGAAAATCAAGCACCTTCATAGGGATCTTGTGAGAGATACCAAGAGGAGGCTGGAAAACATTGTCTATCAAAGGGAAACTCTGACCAAACTAGACAGGAAGAAAACACTACATGAGAAAAAACTCCTTGAGAAAAGCAAAGAGCTAGCATTCATTCTTAAGAAAAAGGGTCTTGATGAGAATGAGCTGAAGGCAGAGTTTGATTCAGTGTGGGAAAACTGGGTCTCTCAGTTGGCAGTGGATGTTAGACCTCTTGAAGACATTAACATAGAACAGGACATCATTACTATCATATCTGAAATTCACGAAGAAGCACTTGTGCATAGCAGATTAAATAAATCTGAAAGCATTAGCCAACTGACTAACTTCAACAAATACATTAATCCCATCAAAAAAATCTGCAATGTATTTCGCCAGTCTTCATTTGCCCTTCTACCAGAGGAACAGGAGTCCATAACACAACTGGTTCACAGAATTACGTGTGAAACTAGAAACCTGGTGAAGTCAAAATCAGTGGCGAAGATGGGCTACAACACAAGCTACATTCAAGAAATCGCACAGCTCGTAAAAATGAGCGTTGAAAACCATGAGTGCAAAGTGACGAAATACAAATTCAAGAAAGAGTTCACAGTGGATCTGACCATCTTTGCATGCAAACAGGCAGGTGAGCAATTTGCAGAGCTTCATCGGGTGTTTAGAGAGGCTAATGATCCCATAATTTATTTAGAGAAGAAGAAACCAGAATACTACAGCGTCTTCCAGGCATTCTGCCGAGGTGCAACATCGGCTGCTGTATTTGGAGCCTTGATTTGTAGTGAGCTGAAAGAGCCCATTATCCAGAGTGTCTACAACAAGACCGCAAGTGATCTAGCAGGAGAGATGCGGACAAATATTCCAGCGTTCAAAGGCAACAGGTCAAATCTGGAGAAACACATTCTGAAAGCTCTTGCAGAGGAGGAGGACTTTCAAAAGTTTATTCAGTACATACATTTTCCCAGGGAGCAGTTTGAAGGCTTCATCAAATCTCAAGTGAAAGCTTTCATAACGGAGGGAAACTCGTCAGCTGTGGCTATGATTCAAGGCAACATCAGGCACAAGGAGCAATGTGTCATCACAGCTGCAGAAACGGCAACAGCTCAAGTCTTGGGTAAAGCTGGAGATGCAAACATTTGGCTGGAGATTTTCTCAGACTGTCTGAAGGACGAGCTTGAATACAGTAAAGAACATCTGACTGGGGATTGCTGTCAGGACATCACTGACTTTGAACTTCTGGAAGAGGTTGTGAAAAAAGAGCTTCGCCCAATCATAGAAGACTTGAACAGATGCTTTAAACCCTCAAGTGTCAAAATGCGAAAGTTCAGGAAACCACCAGATGAGATTTTGATTGAACATTTCTGCAATTGCTGCTGGGCCCAGTGTCCCTTCTGTAAAGCCATATGTATAAACACAATGGAGGACCATCCTGGGGATCACATTGTCCCTTTTCATCGTAACTGTGGGATAAGAGGGATGATTTACAAAGGGACAACTAATCTTTCCTTGACATTCTGCACATCTTCTGTGGCAAGTGACACACAGCGGTTTTGTCCAGATATTCGAACAAATGAGACAGTTTTGTGGAAGGAATATAGAACTGCAGGTCCCCATTTTGCAAACTGGTGCATCACACCTGATCTGTCAGAGCTGCCTTACTGGAAGTGGTTTGTGTGTCGGTTTCAGGCTCAATTAGAAAAGTGTTACAATTACACTTTCGATGGCTGTAGTGAGATACCAAAGGAATGGAGAACCTACACAAAGGAGCAAGCGCTGGAGAGTCTAGAGAAATACATGTAAGTTTAATCACTGCCTTTAACGTTTAAAGTGTTTTTAGCTTTAACCATTTTTAAAGTATCCAAAAAGACCCAGAATTATTTTCCTCATTCTTTGTGAATGATCTATTTATAATGCCTGTTATTTCATACTAATTGTTACACAGAAATTATTGTGTATTATTTTCCTTTTATGTTCAAGGTTTTTGGTTGTTTTTTGTAGTTCTTGCCTAAACAACTGTAGTTTTTTTATGAACATTTTAATCTTTACCTTCTTAATAGCATTTCAATAAAAAGACACTGCATTATTAACTAAAATCACACAACATTTTGTATTCTGAAAATAAAAAATAGAATTAAACAACATTTTATTTGATTAATGTTTCATGGAGTAATTATTTAAGAGTTCACAGTGTTATATAAATGTAAAATACGAGAACATGTTATATACAGTGCTCGGCGTAATTGAGTACACCCCATTTGGAAAATGAATACTTTTAATCCATTTCTCAGTGAATGTAGGCAATGTATTTTGGTGTATTTAAACAAAACAGATTTATTAAACAGATATATTTATTCAAATAATATTTTAGTCACCAAACATATTTAGAAATTAAAAGCTTCTTGCCAATTAAATTCAAGCAAAGTATTTAAAAAAACTACAAAATTTCAACAAATTTTTTCTTGATTTTTCCTCTTTTTTTTAAAAAAAAAAAAAATTGTATTTAGTATTTTCTAAAACATATAATTTGGGTGTATGTAAATTAGTCATTTGGGAAGGTTGGCATTTTCCGTTTGTACGTATGGGTTGTCAACGTGATGTTGCATTTTCACTGTCAAACATGACAAAAAAGTTAATACAATTAGTATTGTCTTAATTTAAAATGCATGGATAAACATTTTCTAAACTGTCCTATATGGTGTCACTGTCTCAAGCATACTGCTTGTTCATTGAATACAGCTCTTAGAAATGGAAAACAGAAAATTGAAAAATCATTGGTACAGCACTTGATGCATTTTGTCACCGAAAGCCATATTCTCTGGTGTTAAATTCATTCATTCATTCATTTTCTTTTCGGCTTAGTCCCTTTATTAATCTAGAGTCGCCACAGTGGAATGAGCCGCCAACTTATCCAGCATATGTTTTACGCAGCGGATGCCCTTTCAGCTGCAACCCATCACTGGGAAAAATACATTCACAAACACACACACGACGGCCAATTTAGCTTACCACATGTCTTTGAACTGTGGGGGAAACCAGAGAACCTGGAGGAAACCCACACAAACACGGGGAGAACATGTAAAAACTCCACACAGAAATGCCAACTGACCCAGCCAGGACTTTAATCAGCGACCTTCTTGCTGTGAGGCGATTGTGCTACCCTCTGTGCTACCATGCAGCCTTAGGTGTAACACTATACTAATTTCAAATCCGCAAATCCACTGAAGAATTAGTTGAAGGACCCCATTTAAGATCATGTAACTAAAGCCCCATGTTAAGCCACCAACATGCTCTTATTAAGTTTGTTTCAAAACGTTTTCACATATTAATTTTTTTTGGAACCACTACATACACTTTTGGCATGACACCCCACTTATTGAATACTGCCGGCAAGTCACGGTGAAAATCATCATGATTTCATATCAAATATATAGCACTTAATGAAGATAAGTGTCCGACAATAAAGAAAATCACTCTCATGCATGCTATTTGTATATTATTAAGAGTTGTGTTTCATAATTTTTGCTGTCACACTATATAAGACATATTTAAGTTACAATTCAGTGAAAAAATAAAATAAAAATACAGTGAAAAAATAAAGTTAATGATCCTTTATATTGTCTTAAACGTCAGACTTAAAACTACATATACACTGTAAAACCCAAAGAGTTAAGGTAACTCAGACCATTTAAGCAAACCGATTGCAACAAACTAAGTTCAAAAGCTAATCCTAATGAGTACTGTGAACTTACTACATATGAGCAAACTAAGCAATTTGAGCACTGCAAAAGCCAATAAATGAAGAAAAATCAAACCAACTGAGTTCTGTAAAACTCAATAAGTTAAGGCAACTCCAACCGTTTGAGGAAACCGATTGCTACAAACTATTTGTGTTAAAAACTAATCTATATGAGTACTGTGAACTTCCTCCATTTAAGCTGAAGTAATGAAATATTCAATTAACTCATTACCTTCAACACTACGATCAAAACTCTTTTCAAATAAGTAGAATTAACTTTTAGTCAATTTTGAGCAACCACACTCATTTCATTTGATAAAGTTGACTGTTGGGTTTTACTGTGTATTTATTAATTTTGTTGTAAAAAAAATGGTGTTTTACTAAAAAACCCAAACACTTTTAATTCCTATTTCTCAACGACCCATGTAGAGATCATGACAGTAAAAGGTTTTTATTAACATGATTAATAAAATATCTACTTTTAACCCTTTCAAGGCAGGCGTTGCTGATTTGCAACAGTTAAAAACATAGATTTTGCCTGTTTCTAAAATTTTATTTGAGCCTGAAAGGGTTAACCTGCAATCAGTCAGACCTGAAAAATGCATTTGGTAAATAAAGATTATTGCACACAGAGAGTTACATTATCTTCATTAATCACAGGAAAGTTCTGAAAAACTGTTGAGTTATTGAATGATCTACGATTTTGTTACAGATGCAGGGGTTCTGGAGAGATTTAATGTCATAGATCTGCTTTTTTGTGGCTTTTCTGCCCGTCTCCGTGCATCTTCCTCTTCCTCCCTCCACAGCTCACACTTTTTCCTCTCTAACTCCCCCTCACCCTCACAATTCTCCTCCAGCTCTCTCAGCTTCCGTGCTATCTCCTCGTGCCTCTCCTCCAGAATCTTCTCTTGTTTTTCGCGTATCTTCTTCTCGGAGGCCGGGTAAAATGACGTAGTGTAGCAGCTTCCGCCGTTGACAGCCACCAAGGTGTCGATCTTCTCCAGAAGTTTGCTGACCTGCTCAAAGCCAGTGTTCTTGTTATTGAAGAACACAAATCCACCGGTGCACGTGCGGATAAAGTCTCTAAGATCCTTGTCCGAGCTGGCGATCACATCATTTGGTGTTTTCCCTTCCAGTCGGTCTCCATGTGTGAACAGAACAATGGTGTAATTCCAAACGCTCTTCCCAAACATGTTTTGGATTAATTTATGCATGTCCTTGTCCTCATTGGTCAAATTCCCCACCGGCAGAACCCGCAGAAACACGTGTGGTCCTGGTTTATACAGAGAGACAGATTTTAAGATCTCCCTGGTCACCTCCTTCTCCATTCGACTGGTTTTATTCAGTCCCGGTGTATCTACTATGACCACGGGTCGGCCGTTGATGTTTCCAGTTGCTCTTTCACAGAACTGCGTGACCCTGCTCAGCTGCATGTCCGTGTTGAAGGCGTTCCACCTTAAAATGGTGTTTCCAGTTGAGCTTTTTCCAGATCCTCTTGCTCCCACTAACATGATGCGCAGTTCATCTGCTTCAGCTGGAAGAAGATCATGCACGGTATGTTGAGATTTTAAACTTGGCAGAAAATATTAAAGCAATAGTTAACCCAAATATTTAAATCATTTACTCATCCTCATATCTGTTCAAACCTGTTTACATTTGTTTTTAAGGAATGTAAAGTTTCTCTTTTGTATTCCAAGGAAGAAAGTAAGGTATACAGGGTGGAACATGTCAAGAGCAACAACTTTAATGATAAAAAAGATATACAAACTAATTTAGAGAGGTGCATGTGATATGATTGATCTCAGCTGGTCTCTCATCTGTAATCAGCAATAATGCAATTAGATTGATTCAAACGTACAATAAATGGACCCATTTTGCCTTACTACCTTATCTTCCTTTTGCAAGAATCCCTCCTTCTACCCCATCGCCTCCTTTTACCAGGGGGAGCTCTCGAGACCAACCTGATCTCCAAACCCCTTATATGCTTATTGACTAAGCGGGAGTCCTGGGCTCAATTGTCTCTGAGCTCAGGGTTGACCCTCGGGACAGCATGCCAAACCTTCTAATAGCATCAAGCAATATCTAAGTGTCTTGAATGTATCTAAGAACTCTTGAATGCTCATTTTAACCAGAAACAAAGTCAAACCTTAATAATGCATTTTATAATGTATACTGTAAAAGAACATAAATTATGTTTCAAAAACTAAAAACTTTTGTTTATTTATTTTGTAACTGCCTTGTAATGGAACATCCTAACCAATTTTTAATAGAAATCAGACCCCCTAGTTTTTCACAAATTATTATTATTTTTTTTTTTTGCGATTAAAAATGACTGATTTTGTGGTGGCAATTCCCAGAAATTTTCGAACAATTTTGCGATTTAAAAAAAAAAACAAAAAAAACATCATCAACATAAAGTGTGACCCAATATATATATATATATATATATATATATATATATATATATATATATATATATATATATATATATATATATATATATATATATATATATATATATATATATATATATAAATAAAATAAAATATCTTATTAGGTAGCCTACTATGTCTACTACTTTATCAATAAAGCTTTATTTTGGTCTCTTGTCAAAACAAGTTCTAAAACAGATCTAAAATTTTAGGGTTTAAGCTGAAGGAAGGTTGTATAACTCTTATTCCATTATCTTACTTTCTCTTTCTTAGATTTGACTCCCAGAACATCCAACACAATCTCACGGCAATTCGTAACTTTTTGATTTAGTGGGTAATTCGTATGAATTTGTACAATCTAGTTGGTACAATTTAGTACCATTTGCTCATCACCCAATGATGGTAGGGGTTGGGGGGGGGGGAGTTAGGTGCCACGCCTCCTTTTTAAAATCGCACCATTTTGTACGACTGAACTCGAATACGAATACGAATACGAATTGGTTTGATTTAGCCACTAAACTGGCAAAACGGAAAATTCTTACATTTTGTCGTGATATCAGGCTGGAACATCTGACATCAAGTATCACTCAGGACTTGTGTTGGCGTTTAAACACCTGAAACACGGATTGCTGTAAAACTTGTCAATGGCAGGCTATCGTTTTCTGTCATCAACAACAGGGAAAGAGTGAAGCAAAATCATTTATTGAGTTGACGCACATCATAATAGGCTATACCTATGGTGTAAAGCACCAATAATGCCCTTCAATTCGGTCACGTCCAGCGGCCATCATCCTTGCACCAATCTCCATTATTGTAAGCTGCTTGCGTTTTTGTCTATTCCATTGCTCCATTTGTTAGATGTTTGCTCAGACTTTCTTTTGCAAGTGCATTAAATGCACAAAACGCCCATTCGCGCGGTGGTATTCACTCGATTTGGCCACATGATGTCTAATCACATCTTTGCATTGACTTCGCATGTAAATCACTCACGCTTCATCCTTGTCTGCTTACGGCAGAGGCTGCAAAACAATTCCCCCATAAAATGTAATGATTGTGAGGGCGCAGGTGAGACGTAATCTTTCAAGAGACTTATGTGCGCTGTGTAGGCAACGTCTATAAGTCACATAAAACAATTAATTGCTAAACTGAAATAAATCAAATTTGACTATATAGTTTGGAATTGGATGTTTTAAGAAATTATTTCGCGATTATTTTGCGTTTAAATTAAGAATTTTGCAGGAACGCAAAAAAATTTGACTTTTTGCTGTCTTTGCGTTGGATTCAGGGATTGTGGAATCATGAAAAACTAAGAGGTCTGAACTATGTTAGCAATGCTAATGCTTAATTCATTAATAAGCATAAATTAATGTAGTTCATTCTCAATAAATTTAAAATGTATAAAATTTTTGATTTTTACGAGAGCACCTTATGAAGACTTTTTAACTTCTAAGAGTTTCAGAGATGTTTTCCCTTTAAAATTACTGTCTTGCATTTTTTAACAAAAAGCACATGACTGCAAAACCTTGCTCATTTCTGATTGTTAGCATGCTTGGTATTCAGATCTGACATGTTTGAATCTTTATCTTGTGTTGGCATTTGCTGTTTTGGATTTACAGTACTGATTGGAGTGATTTCATGTACAATAGTTGTTGTCTGCCCTTATTAGACACTAAACTCTGAAGCACTAAATATTAATACACCCACTAAATCTCCTTAGTACATTCATTAATTTTTGTTTATGATGATTAACATCATGCTTACCAGTCAATGAGGGGGATTTCGAATTAGCTTTAAACTCTCGTATGTCTGAAAAAAAGATGAATAACGATTATATATATATATATATATATATATATATATATATATATATATATATATATATATATATATATATATATATATATATATGTATGTATGTATACAGGGTGTATTTTGAGTTCACATGAATTGATTTCATCATTTATTTGTCTTACCGTGCAAGGTTGGAGATCTTGAGTTTATTTTTACAATTTCGTACCGTTCATCCATCTCAGCTATGGAAAATGAGTAGATGCATTATTATCGTAAGCCTAAACTTTAAGAAACAGTATTATCAGAAGGATTTTGATTTTGATTGATTGGTTCAGACTTGACGTATACTGAATCAGAAACTCACAGCTTAGTGACGAGTCCAGCTCAAAGGTGCTTTCTTTCTCTACTTCAGTCTTCAGACTGTCCCCCAACTTCTCATCTGAAGTCATCTTTCTGCATAATAGAAATATGACACCCAAACGCAGTTTCCTGTTATGCTTTAATGTTTTATTTCAGCATGTATACTATGACATATAAAGCAAAGATACTTACGATGGTCAGAGAGCCGATGTAGATCCACAGACAGAGTATTAAGTGCTTCAATCAGAGTTCCTTTAACACTGACCGCCAATCCAGTTTAACCAGTATCTGTATGGTCCATTTAAATCCAATGAGAAGCCTTCTGTCTATCTTGTAATTTACAGGAGTAGATGATAAGGAGTGAAACGTATATCAATTAATCAAATAACTTCAGTGCTTTAAAGAATGAAGACACTAGTTATGACTGATTCTACTGATTTCTCCTCACAGATTTCAGACACTTAAACTCTCCAAATGTCGTGGTCTGTGTTATTTGCAGAGAGTTTTTGTATTGCATGTGTTGAGAATTTGTGTCGCTTAGTTTGTTAGCATTTTTGTATTTGCATATGTTATCTTAACTTGCAGTGCATTTGAGCTCTTTTGGCCACTGTATTGTACAATGGAACTATATTGAGTTTGCATTTTCAGACCCCATTTGTAAATAAATAGCCAAAAAACACATTCATTTTTTATGTAAATTGCCCTTAGCCCTCTGTTTCCTTTTTATTTCTTTAACCCTGAATTAGCTTTAGTCATTTAATTTGAAGAAATACAATCAAGAGCTTGTTTAGGATTTTACATTAATTAACGTGGTTGTTTATAAATTAAATCAAATGTTTCTTTTTTTAATTTGATCTCGTCGAGCATTTCCTCTTATGGTGTGTCAGGATTTGACTCTTCAGGAAGGGCATACTGAGATAACACCTGCGAGTTTGACAGTTCATCAACAAAGCACACGCACATCAAGTGTTATCTCTGCATGCCATCTGTTCAGATTCTCAAAATATGTTTTTCATCGTTTCGTTTCAGAACTCATATTTAATGACGCTAACATTCAAAGTTTAAATAACCTCATAATCCAACATCGTAAATAAGATCATAAACTAAAAATGAGTCATTTACTTTTATTTTTAATCATGAAAATAAATGTGGCTGATGCAATGTTTGAATTGCTGTCTAAATGACACTACAGAACTGTCCTCAGCAGAACATTAAATAAGATTTTGCTTTAAAGCTGAAACTATGTTCCTTCAGAATCGGTTTTATTGCTTAGTGTGCTCCACAGTGTTAATAAAGCGACAAGTGGCAACACTAAAATATATATGAGACAACCAGTAGTGTAAAGTAACAAATTACAAATATTCAAACTACTGTAATTGAGTAGTTTTTCACCGGAATTGTAATTTACTTAGTAGTTTTATAAATGTGTACTTTTACTTTCCTTTGAGTACATTTTAATGCTGTATCGGTACTTTTACTCCACTATAGCTTCCTTCAGTCTGCAGTCATCATACGTTCTTTCTTTCTTGTCTATGGGGATTAGAAATATCAGTCCTGCATTTCCTGTCCTAAACTGCATCTTACTGAACCAGGGCTTGACATTAACTTTTTTGATCACCAGCCACTGTGGCTAGTAGTTTTTCACCGTTACTAGCCACTCGCCATTTTCACTAGCCACAATTTTGATGTTGGGAAAAGATATTTTATGCATAAATTTGACTTTGGCATGGGTTGCTGCAAGCTAAAATGACTTCATTTAGATTTAGTGTTTTTTCAACTTGCCTCCTCGTTCATTTAACTGTGTTTTGTTTATGCGCTATGTCAATGAGCATGAGGAAATGGGTTATAAAACACTTTCATAAAAAAGTGTTGCTTTGCAATTAGTCTTCTTTTACAGGACCTTTCAGGGCTCGATACAATAAGCATTTACGTTTTTTTCTCTGGCCATAACAAACTAATTATTTCCTTGCCACAAATTGTAAATAATGTGTAAAAACAAGCACAATACTGCTGTATACATACACTTTTTATTCAACAAAACAGCTGACATTTAAAAAAATATATACATATTATCACGCATCTTAAACTATACACAGTGGTCTGTTCTGGCTCTAGATCCCAGATCACCAGTTAACTATGCATACAACAACATATTAAAGTAATATTATTGTAAAGGATGATTATTAAACTATATTAACGAAAATAACAGCAAGCTAAAGACAGCAGGTATAAAACATTCTGAGCGCGATAATGAAAGAATGATGCTACGCACACTGTTAATGTTAGGCCAATTAATAATCTGTTCAAAGAATGGTTAAAGCGAAAGCGACAACATCTGCTTGCTGCTTACAAAGAATCTCGAGTCCTTGAAGCACTGTGTGTGCACGAGCATCGCACTAGTTTAGTTTCCAGGCACTGTTGCTTTGAATGAGGAAAAGGCAGGAGCTTTAAAACTATCTCGCGCATCAAATCATCTGTGCACACGACACTCAGGCCCTCGTCAGTGAGTGAGGAAAGCTAGTCTCACCATGTGCGTGATCCTCTCATTCGTTATTCACCTGCTTTCTTTTGCTCGTGTGAAAAGCAGTTTTTGTCAGTCGTGCTGCTTCTCAATTCTAAGGACCCATTTGCACGCAAATAGACAAATGGTCTAAGTGATCATGAGCCAGCACTAGCAATTTAAAAATGAGTTTCAGCCAGCCAAAGTGGCTAGTGGGAGTGGCTGTCTAACCCGCCACAACCGAAATCTACCCTCATTTGGCGGGTTGGTGGGTGTTAATGTAAAGCCCTGTACTGAACAACCTCAAGATGTGGGCGCTTTATAAATGCAGCAAACTTTTGGAAGCATTAAAAATATTAAAGAAGATGTGCAAAATCTTTACACGCATTGATTCAGAGACTTTTATAGAATGCATGTCACTGGTTAGAAAATGAAGGATGTCAACTGTATGAAGACTGAAATCACTAAATAGCCTTAAACAATCACTTAATGGAACAAATGAAGAATGGAAAGAAGAACCGAACAAAGGAAGAACCGAACTAATGAAGAAAGGAAGGACCAAATGAATGAAGGATGGATTCAAGGAGAGACTGAACAAGTGAAGGAAGGAAGGAATGAACAAACGAACAAATGAATAAATAAACAAAGCACCCAATGAAGGAAGGAACAAAATATGAATGAATGAGCGAACAAATAAAGGGAGGAACAAAGAAAGAAAGAAACAATGAATGAAAGAAGGAACGAATATACAAATGATTGAAGGAAGGAATGAACAAACAAACAATGGAAGGAAAATTAGAAGAAATGAATAGAGGAAGATCACTAAATGCACTACAGAATGTTACGTTTACACATCCCTGCACAAACTGCACATCAACTTTTCACAGTGTAATACTCGCTACTCTTGAGTACTTTTGAAATGTCTTCTTTTGACTCATACTTTGAGTAATATCTACAACAGATACTTTTACTCTACTTGCTCTACATTTTGGGGCAATTAATGGTACTTTTTTCTTCTTTCTTCAAAATATCTTTTGTTTTTGTCTTCATTTGAAAAAAGAAACTCATACAAATTTAGAACAAGTAAAGAATGAGTAAACAATCAAACTTTCAGTTATGGGTGAACTATCCCTTTAACAGCAGGTTTCTTTTCAAATATTTTTTTTTTTTTTTGAGGGTAGATCGGGGTGAAGTTATTCTTTCCTTTGGATGAACTGTTGCAGTACAGTCCAGTTGTAGTCATGTCTGTTAACCAGTAGAGGGCAGTGTAGAATGTGGTGAAAATATTCATTTAACCTTAATATTGCTAAAACATGTACTTTAAACATATGCATTAAATTAGAGTAAGTCCTGAGAGACTTCAATTTCTACTCAGAAGAGGAGAATAATAATGGCAGGAGGAATGCTCTAAAAGGAGCTGGGTGTCATTCGTGATAGCCTAAGCCTTAAAGCAAGAGGAAGAAGACATAAACTGGTTTCTGGCTAGTCTCTGTCACACTGTGCAGCAACCAGAGTTCCTGTTTTACTGTCAGACCTGTTCTTTGCAAGGAATAAACATATAGTAACAGTCTAGCATTTGAGATCAGTAAGATTTTGGTAACAGATTACAACAGTACATGAATATTGATGTGTTATATGTAAATTAAACCTTACTATTTTGTGAACTAATGAGTTAATGTATGCGCTTATCATGAACTTTTACTACAACATGATTCACATGTGTGAATAACGGCCTTAATTACTTGTTAGTACATGATTGTTTGTCAATTATTGTATTAATCACCACATTAGTTTATGCTTAATTAAACCATCATCATCTGTGAATATATGAAGAGTTCAGATGCAAAAACCTCTAAATGCCATCTGAAATCTTCTCTTAAAATGAGAGAATTTTTCTCAGCTCAAATCTCATTTTTCTCAAACATAGGATGTTTATGTTCAGTTATTTAAGTTTAAAGTCAACAAAACAAACTTATTTGTCACTTTAAAAGTAAAATGACCAAGCCTACACACATGAGTCGGAGAAAAATGCTAATCTTAGAAGAAAATATAAAATTTTCTTTTTTGCTCTAAACTCTTCATATAATTATGTCTGGATTTATGTCTGGATAAAAAAATATGTCTGGATAATTTGATAAAAAAAAATAATAATTATGTGTTATAGCTTAAACTTCATAACGCAAAAACAACACGCATATTAATACAGCTGTTCTGTGTGAGTTCAATTAGTCGAGTGTTGACATTCTATTTTTTTTAAATACAACTAGTTGAGTTAATAAATAAATAATCCAATCTAAAGGTTAGAAATAACAAAGTACCAAATATTTTCAATTCAGCCATTGAGTTAAACAAATAACTAAAGTTTTTTTTTAGATTGTATGCATGTCCATCTAGTGCATTTACACTGAATAACAGTAGAAAAGTAGGTAACACTTTATTTTAAGGGTCCAAAATAATGCCTTAATTAAGCATTATTAACGATTAATTTGTTAACAGTTAAGCAATTAGTTATAAGCACTAGTAATTAATGGTTAACTAAATGCTTAAAATACTCCTAAAATAGTGTTATCAGAAAGTGTTCTGTCAACA